CACACCACAACACACCACACACACCACACACACCACACACACCACACACACCACACACACCACACACACCACACACACCACACACACCACACACCCCACACACACCACACACACCACACACACCACACACACCACACACACCACACACACCACACACACCACACACACACACCACACACACCACACACACACACCACACACACCACACACACCACACACACCCACACACACCCACACACACCCACACACACACCACACACACCCACACACCCACCACACACACACACACACACACCACACACCACCACACACACAACAACCACCACACACACCACACACCCACCACCAACACACCCCACCACCCACACACACACCACACACACACACCCACACACACACACACACACACACAACACACCACACACCCACACTCCACACACACACCACACACCACGCACCACGCACCACACACACGCACCACACACCACGCACATACACCACACACCATACACACACACACACCACACACCACACACCACACACCACAACACCACACACCACACAACACACACACACGCACACACACACACACACACACACACACACACAACACACACACACACACACACACACACGCACACACACACACACACACACACACACACACACAACACCAAAGACACACACACACACACAACACACACACACACAATACACACAACACACGACATGCAACACACGACTCGCAACACGCACCACACACACAACACACAACACACGACACGCAACACACGACACGCAACACGCACCACACACACACACACACACTCACCCTCACAATCGCACTCACACTCATACTCACCCTCACACTCGCACTCACACTCATACTTACACTCATACTCACACTCACACTTACACAACACACAACACACAACACGCACCACACACACACACACACTCACCCTCACACTCGCACTCACACTCATACTCACACTCACACTCACACTTGCACAACACACAACACACAACACACAACACACAGCACACAGCACACAGCACACAGCACACAGCACACAGCACACAGCACACAGCACACAGCACACAGCACACAGCACACAGCACACAGCACACAGCACACAGCACACAGCACACAGCACACAGCACACAACACACAACACACAACACACAACACACAACACACAACACACAACACACAACACACAACACACACAACACGCCCGCCCGCCAGCCTACCCCACTCACCCAACCATCACCCGCCCATCGCCCACCCTCGCCCACCATCACCTACCATCACCCACCGTCACCCGCCGTCACCCACCACACCACCCATTGCTCAGGTCTGGGCCCAAGAGTCATGGCCTTAAGCCGGGGAAAGGTTGACCAATGAGAACCAGCGTTGTCGAAGACTGCCCGCAGCTCCATCAGCAGCTTGAGTTCCGCTGTCAGCATCGGAAGCATTGAGCTTGAGGAACGTGTCGGACGTATCGTTTGCAAGAGGACCTTGTCCCCAGGCGCACATGATGAGGACGAACGGCCCTAGCGAGGCAAGGCGATGTGGGTCATTGGAGCTGGTGCTGGGCTGAGAACGGGTGTCTTGAGCTAGCGGCAGATAGTGCCTAGAACTGACTTTGCCCCGTACATTCCCGGCTGCTCGATACGGTCGTACTTTAGTGGAGCCCGAAAACCTTTAATCATATACCTGTTGGTTTCGCGGCTCGCAGGCCAGCAGGGCTTCGGGTAGGCACCGCATGCTGCATTCTGGCTGCATCAGGCACGATTACCGAACACTTCCTCGGTTTCGTTTCACAAGGCCAACCCGAAGCACCACCTTCTTCAATGGCTTCATCCAAGCGTCACCTGCCGTTGCAGGTGGAAGCAAATACACTGCTGTCGGAGGCTTGTTTTGTAAACAATGTACCGAGACAAACCATGCCCCATGCAACAAGTTGGTGGGTGGCCATTCTGGTGGCCAAGTCACCTTCTACATACGCTTGTCTTTTCTGCTCTGGCGCCGTGCACGGGATGGGTCTTGCATGGTTTCGCCTTTACTGCCGGCAGGTCGGCGATGATGTTGCCGCTTCTGCCGGAGCAGCTTGCCACAGCCGCTTGGCAAGTTAGGCATCCTGAGTCGGTGGAGAGCAACTGGGTCAAGGGTGCCGAGTCCTCTGACCTGAGGTGATGAGGTGCACATGTCTCACGTGCTGGAGGCCGTATGGTTCCTTCAAAGCAGACGGTTACGGAATCGCACAGGCCTTCAAGGGGCCATGCAGAAACCCTCCTCATGAAGTATTGGCTCTCACCAGGCCATGGGCGTGAGCAAGGCGAGACCCTCATATGGGTCACGTGCTCCGGTCCCAGAGCCTGCTCGGTGAACACCTCGGTTCCTGGTAAGGAATGGGCCATGGGGACGTGCCGCTTCACAGTGGGCCGCGAGACGACTTCTGCCGAGGCTGCATAGAATAGATGTGCAACCCTGGCCTGAGCAGGATCTTGGGTTCGCACTCGCAGTCTGTCTTCACACCAATGGCCAATTACCAACTTGAACGAACCATGCGTCTTTGGGAATTCCACAGGGTGACCCTCTTAGTATGTGAGCTGCTGCTACATTGTTGGGTGAGTGGGCTAACGAGATCCCACGCGAGGAGGTGTTTGCTAAGGTCTTCGTCGACGATCGTCTCATGCTGAGCAGCAATTAGCAGCAGTTACAGCAAGCCTTTCCTACCACTCAATTTGGGGATGGTTCTTTTGATTTTAAGACTGAGGCTAAATCTGTTGCTTTTGGAAATAATGTCGAAGCTGATAATCTGTGGTGGTTAGATGCTTACGAAGTTAAAAGACAAGCAAATCGTGTATCTTGGGATACCACTCCCCCTTCAGAACACATCAGCCTCCGAGTTTTTGAAGCCCATCTTGCATGACTGCTATGTTCTCTTGAACAAAATGGTAGATCACACATCACACATGACAATGTTGCCACGATTGTTGCGCGAAAAATCATACCTGCCATTTGATACCCTTGTGCCGCTGTTCGACCTCCTAAGCCGCAAATTGAACATTTGCGGTCAAAGATTCCGCAAGTGCCAAGCTCAAGCAGCACACATTGTCTTTTGTGAGCAAACTCATCTGTTTGATCCTGAAAGCGCTATGGTTTTTCCTAATATGAGGTTTTGGATACAAGTGTTCATGCAAGCATCTTTGCTAGCACAGCAGCTTAAAGACATGCTTGAGCAGTCGATCCCATCCAATGATCACCCTTATGCCATCTCACGCTTGAGTCTTTTATCTTGTTCACCAGAGAGCGCTTGCAGATCGACCGGGCCGCAACGGTCATCGCGTCTGCGGTGAGCAGGCAAGCTGTGCACACAGTGCAGTGTTGGAAGGCTAAGCTCTCAGCTTATCGCATCGCAGCTTGTCAGAACATGCTGGAAGATGTGTCGAGACGGTTCTTCGCTGGGCACAGCATTGGCAGACCATCTGCTTTGCCCAGCACATATACCAAGGACTAAAGCAGCGGGAGAGCAGGGTTGCAAGCTGTGATAGCAGATTTTCCGAACCCGAGAACGTGCTTTGTGGAAGTCTAGGGATGCCTTCGTCTTAGAGGCACTCTTATGTTGCGATTTTTGCGACTCATGATGCGAAACGTTGCGAAGCCATCTTTCAGTGCACTGAAATGGTCAGGCTGATGCCCTCGGAGAATGGGAGCGAGGCAGGAGACCTACCACGACAACAGCTGCAGCTTTACAAGTTGTTTGCCACAGCGCAGAGGACCAGGGTGACGTTGGCAAAGACCTCGACGAGGTCGGAGTCACGGGATTCGAATGAATGTCGTGCCACTTCGGGCTGGTCAATCCTTCGAAACTTCTGCCGGATACAGATTCTGTGGTATGGGCCTGCTAGGCTTCTAGATTCTTCTAGGCTAGGTGCACTTTTCCAGGCTGCACTTACAGGGCGACCAGATCTGCAGCAACGCCTAGGTTGTAGACCCCGGAACTCTTGGTGATAGTTCATCAAGCAACACTGGGCATGCGCAAGCCCGTTGGCAATATTGCATCTCACTGGCTGACAGCCGAACAGCCGAAGAGTCTACTTGTATCATCAGAGGAACCGCGCGAAAGAAGCCTCACAAGACACAAGCCCAAGCTTTGCAGATGGATCCGTCTTCTGTGAAACTCACTCGCTTCACGCACGGCATGGGCTCCTCGGCTGGGCATCTTGGAGTTCATGCACATCTCATGGGGTTCTATGCTCTGGGAGTGCTCTACGGCAAGCTTCTGCGAGCCCGATCAATTGTACTGCGATACTCATTCCAACAACTACAAGCTCATCAGCCAGTGAAAACCCTCAAGCCTTGTAATTGCTGGCTCTTCGTAAGGCAGGGAATTAGGATACTAATGTAGTGCCTTTGAGAGTGCTATAGGCTATATAGGGTATATGAGAAAACCTACTTGCTTTAATTCTATTGAGAATCAGTAGTTGAACAGATATGGCATATACAGGCTTGACCACAAAGGTGGCACGTAACTTCGAACAATCTCTAGACCTCAGAAAGTACACGCCTAATGGGTTCGGGGTTTACAAGTTTGGGGCTGAGCTGAGCATGAGCTGACGAGGACATAAGAGGACTCCTCTTGCCGACATGATTCCACAGTTGTCACATCTGTGCGTGGGATGGGGGAGATGTGCTCTGAGGTTCCTGCAGGCTGTGCAACTGCATTGCTTGCCATCACGCCCAGATTCAAACATCGCAGAAACGAAAAATCACGTCATCCAGACGGGAGTCTGAAGATCGAGCCAGTTCCCCTTAGCCCCAAGTGAACAAGCCAACGGCCCAACTTGGAAGAGCTCAGAGCTCGCAGCTCTGAAGTTCTAACAGTTCCACCTCGACTTGTAACTTAGGAGCCCGATATTGCCAACACTGTGAGTGGTGAGCTGATGTTAGCCCTAGACCTCTTGGATTGCTCCAATGCCGCATCAAAGCCATGCGGGTGACGGTCAGCTCTACGGCGGACAACTGCGACCCTTAGCTTAACAATCTAGTGGCTTGCATAAGTATCTGAGAGATTCGGCAGGGTCTCATCTGGCCTGCATGACATAACGTGGACTAGTGACTAGTGGCCAGATGCCAGAATGCAAAGCTATCTCGGAAGGCCCAAACCTTTCGAATGCCTTTCTGCTTGTGGTGCGCCAGGAAGGATGGGTGCTCGAGCTCGAGGTGTCCCAGAAGACGACGGCCGGGCACAATCCATGCGAAGGCTGCTGTTACCCAGAAAAAGAAGTCTTGATTGAGGTGGCTGCGCTGAAAAAGCTGCTGGCGGGGCCACCTCACTTCCTTGGTGTTGTGGCAAGCACCAAAGTTCTGCTCCTGGGCGCATCAACGATTCTCGTTGGAAGGGGGGCCTTCCTTTGTGGGCTTCGGGCTGCGTGTGGTTTGTACACATGCTCGACATGAGTATGCAGACTGAGGTTTCGTGACAATGGTGCCTTGGTAGCATGGTCCATGGTCCGGGAAGCAAAGCAAGGTTGGTCCAGACCACTTCAGCCCAGTGTGATGACAGGCTCTCATGGACGCAACCAGCTGCGGCTGCTCACCAGACGCAACATTCATTTTTCTCAACGTACAATTTATCTGTTCCATTTTCCTGTCAGGCACAGATGCAAAGTTGTCCTATCACTTGCCGCTACTAGTGTGCTCGTCGTATTGAAGGAGTCATTTCGCATTCCCAACTCTACTCGTCCGGGGAGCTTGGTCGCGCCAGTGTTGTTGCAATTTTCCCATTTAAGCCAGCTTCGCAGTCAGCAGCGCACAGGGTTCGAGTTTCCCAGAAGCATGTCTGCACATTGCTGGGCCGGGAGGTTCTTGAGTCTTGAGAGATTAACATTTGAGCGCCAAGGTGTGCTCACAACCTTGTTCGACAAAGAGATTGTACATAGCCACGAGCCTTGACAGCACTCGGCGGACTTCAGCGCCTAAGATTCGACCTTGAAGTGTGCTCTGCACTTATCTGCTTGTAGGCCCATGATTGCTAAGCGCTTTGAGGTGACACTTCTCAATGTGGCTGAGCTGGCAGACAGGGTTGCAGAGTTCCGAAAGGGCTAGACTCGCAGGAAACCCTTTCGCCCCACCCTGGTGTCAAGTGGCAAAAGAGGACGAGCGAGAGCGCAGTAGCGCTCCGCCCCATGCCCCAAAGAAAGAATGAAAGAAAGACAGAAAGAAAGAAAGAAAGAAAGAAAGAGAGAAAGAGAGAGAGAGAGAGAGAGAGCGAGAGACAGAGAAAAACATGTGTGTGTGTGTGCGTGTGTGTGTGTGTGTGTGTGTGTGTGTGTGTGTGTGCTTTTCATCAATAGCGGCTGAAATCGTCTCGGGCAAGGGTTCCCGAGAGCGTGCTAAAGAAGAAGAGGAGAAAGAGACGGAGCGCTACTTTCCGAGTTTCATGCACCAGACCCCTGTATGTATGGTCCAACTGGCGAGCGGCAATCTTCCAGGTCAATGATGACAGGGTGCTGCCGTTCCCTGCTGACTTCCTCTGGGGTGCTGCTACAGCTGCTTATCAAATTGAGGGTGCAGCCGCTCGGCAAGGGTTCAGACTTGCCGTGGAACCTAGTCTTCTTCCGGAGAGGGAGTGCTCAATCCGCATGTCAAGAAGACCCGCAGATGATCGGAGCTCACGTCACCCACAGCACCGTCTGCACAGACGCAGTCCGTGTCGGGGCACTAACCAGAAGGTCCCAGTCTGTACAAAGCCTTATTGCTGAGTTGCCGCCATTGTCAGGTCGCATCCGAACAGGGGTGCTTTCGTTTTGCCAGGCACCATCCCAGTCCACCATCCCAGGCTCCTCCGACCACGCAAGCGACGGAATGTCACTTTGCGCGTCCCTTTGCATCTAGTACGCCCATCCACCGTTTCGGCAAGTATTGGGCACCTACTTGTAACTTTGAATTGTTTCATGGCTTCTCCGAGTTTCCCCTGAGGCAGACAAGGAAGGACGAAGTCCGAGCATTTGGGACACGTTTTGCTCCATCCCGGGCAAAGTACACAATGGTGATTCAGGAGCTGTGCTTGAATGAGGCTGTTGCATGCGGTAAGCCTCTAAGCGATTTTGCTAGAAAGAACACAAGACGTGGCTTGGTGGGGCTATATGCAGGAGCACATGCTTGCGAGCACTACTACAGCCGCTTGGAGCCGGAACTCTTTGTCATTTGTTTTCAGTCCAGAAAACTGGAATACTGGGAACTCCCCACCCCCGCCGTTTGGGTCTTGCGGGTTGGGCTTCAGGACGGGGGCCTGCGAACCCAAAATTGCCATTAGGCCGGATAATTGCTGATGTTACTGTCTGACTTTGCATGACACAGCAGAGATGTGAGCAGCGTTAAGCGTGGAGCGGCATGAGGAATTGAGCATCGCGAAGCCAAGCTGCACCCACTGTCCTTCCCAGGATACGCTGACGATGTCAAACTCATGAAAGATCTGGGCCGCCTTGGCCATCAATTGAGAGGGCTTCACATGCAGCAGGCCGCTGAATGAAGGGTTGGTCAGGATTGTCTCAGAATTTCTGAATGTTTCAGATATTAGACCACCTTCATGCACACTCAGGATTGAAAGCGTATCGTTTTTCCATTTCATGGTCGAGGCCACTCTCAAGAGAGTACATGTTTTGTGCTTCGGTTGTGTTCAGAAGTATTTAGCTGCAGACGCCGGATTGCCGCCAATCTTCCGACATGAGCTGCCGTGCAGGTTGCTCCCAGCAGGAACTGGCAAACCGAATCACAGAGCCGTCGATTTCTACCAGTCGCTGTTGTCAGAGCCGCTTGCCTCGACCACAGAGCCGATTTCCATCATGCGGTGTTGTCGTATCCAGTGTATTCAGTGTATTCCTGTGCCCCTGGATCACTGGAGGCTCTGCAGCAGCGGGAGCCTCCTCAGAAGAATAGATTTGGATGGTTATGATTCTACGTTGTACTTGAAGTACCTGTACTTGTGCTCCAGCATAGCACACGAGTGGGCAGCGGCTACTTGTATGTTTTGAATTCGCGATTTTCCAATTTCAGTGCTCAGCTCGACGAGTTGAAGGCCCGAGATGTTGCATCGCACGATCTGCATACCGCACAGGTGTCCATGACAACTACGTAATCGCGTTGAGCATAGCGTGGGATGGAGCTTGCTGGGAATTGTGTGCGTTTCTGGTTTCGAACATTGTGCAGTTCAAATCTGCCAGGAGGATCTAGAACAGTAGAGTTCGATCGGCGTCACCATGGGCACAGCAAGACTGAGGATCACTCCGGTGGTGACTTTATATCACTGGGATCTTCCGCAATGCCTGGAGGACAAGCAACTTGCCTAGGAGCAAAGGTTCGGCCCCGGTTCCAGTAGTTCCAGGGATGCATTGCCTGACCACTTTGCATCAACCGCCCCTCACCACTGCGCATGTGACTGTCTCCCTCTTGCAGCGCCGCACACGTCGAGCTGTCATTCAAAACTACGTTGACGTCCTGAGCAGTGACATTTGTGATGCGCAGGCCCGGCTTGTTCACTCTTGTGTTCGGAAGGCCGTAGGCCGGCTGCACAGGACCAGGAGACAAACTCTACAACTACAGTACGTCTCTGTTGACTGCCCTCAGAAAGAAGCCCTTCAAACTCCCAAGGTATAGCGGGTGGCTCTCCCGAGAGGCCAGGGTATGGCTGTGTATTGCTTTATGCGCTTCTGAAGTTTTGTGAGAGTACCATGTGGGCCGGGTAACCGGGTACCCCACAATCATGAGTGCAGTGATTGAATTGGTAGGTTTCTACCAGGGAGTCGTCAGTTGCATCGTCTTACAAAAGCAAAAGCTATGTGGGGAAACATGGCGGGCTCCACTGACTCCACTGCTTAGTCGGGAGTGCTAGGGGATGCATGGTTCAGCGGTATGGAATGTTTCTGAGGCTCTCAGGGTTCGTGGTCTTGGACGAAGTTTCGGGATGTTTCGGGCTTGGGGCTGCACTCACTCTATTCGTCTGGGTAAGTCAAGCTTCTTTGCCTGTCCCTCTGCAGTGTGGCATAGTCTACTCGCGTAGACAAATTGAGCTTCTTCTCGTGAGATCTCGTGAGTGGGGGGCAAGGTGATTGACGACTTCGAGTACTACGCATCTGTGTGCTTTGATTGCTTTGGGAGCTGCTCGTCTGTGAAACTGGCCGGCACTTTTGGTTACTCAGCCGTACGCTGCTTACATCCTTGAAGAACAAGCCGGCGTGAGCGCCGATCTTTCATGAACTGCTAGAGAACAACTATTGTCACTTAACAGTCACTGGTGCACGCAACTTGCGCACAGCAAACTGCATTTTCACGACGGGCAGCTTGCGTTGCTTGCTCACAGGTCGGCATATCGCAGAGCACGAAGGAATGTAGTTTCAAAGTTTCCAACCACAGTGCGAGCTGGAGTTCACTCACCACGCACAGAGGAAATCAAGTGTGGTGCTGCGATTGACATATTCAGCCATGCGTTGCGATGCATGGGCGGGCGAGGCTCACTTCGATGAGGCATGATATGGCCGTCTTTTCGTGTTTTTTTGGTTTGGATTCCTGTGGAAGCTTTTGTGGTCATACGCTGCACACCACTGATGTTGCTCCGCTACAGAGCAAGCTGGCACCAGACGCGTCCTTTGCTTCGCGTGGCAAAGGTTCGTGTCCCTTGCATTGTGCTGTGGCTGTGACTGCTGGAGATGCCAAGCACCAGGCCCTCGACTTCCAGTATTCACTGCGCGCCAAGCAACCAGATTGGCGAGGGGAACGAGGTTGCAGCTAAGGCCATCGCTCCGAGATGGTTGAAGCTTAGAATCAAAAGCAACGAGAGGATTCATGGTGAACATGGGTGAGCGGTGCCAATACCTGCCTTGCGACCGCAGGTTTGATACAAAGTTAGTGTTGGCAGGGCAGCTGCTTCCGGCTCAATCTGTTAAGAATTCTCACATGATTCAGCTTTGCATGCAGAGAGGCAGTCTGAGAAGGTTAGGTTTGCACCCAGCTTTTAGTCCAGCCTAGCCTCCTAAGACCAGCCGTACATGAATTTGCAGAAAAGGCCCATTTCAGGAGCCCAAGCCATGCGCTCGATGGACACCACCGTCTTGGTGCGGAATGTCGAAGAAGGGATCAAACAAGCTTAAGGGCTCCACGATGCTCGTCTTGTGGAGACATGGTGGTGCTTCTGCGACACATGCAATGTGGCAGTATGCTCTGCAGAGCATACGGGCCTTTTCCAGAGCCATAAGTGACGTTCATGCTCGCAATGTGCTAATTACACGACGTGTCGACACGAGCTTGCCCCTCCCGTTTGAGGTAGGTCGGTAGGTAGGTGCACAGAACATGCGCACGCATCCAGGAATGTGCAAGGGACACCTGACCTTGATGGCAGCGAGAAGGAGGACGTGTTGGAGTTGCCGTGCTGCTGCTCAAGAATTTCATTAGTTCCACCTTGCTCGCAGGACTTCCTGGCTCCGTGCACCGAGGCCGACCAAATCAGCCCAACATTTTTCACACTCGGCCTTACTTCTGCGAAAGACTGCAACACACACACACACATCTAGCTACAACTAGGCTTGAACATCTCTTGCTTGCAACGGCTAGCTACATATGAGGGGCTCGTGGCGATGCAAGGCCACGGTATCTGTGCACAGGGAGCGCGACGAGGTCTCTGGGCGATCGAAGCTAGGCCAGCAAACCGACATTTGCGAGCCCCCCAGGTCAACACTGTATGTTCTTGGCTGTAGATTGTAGATGGCTGCTGTTTTGATGCAGCAATGCTTCGCACATCAGGAATTCGTGCGTCAGTTTCGAACCGAGGAAGACCAACAAACTGCGAGTGTTGCACAACGGCACGATGCCTCTCGAGGTTGCCGCGTGGAATTTTGTTTAGCGAAGAGAAACTCAAGTTTGCAATCATGCAGTTCTACCATGCAAGAACACTACATGCCGATACATGTCCATCTCTCGATATCTTCGGAGGCTTCTACACCGTCAGGAAAGGCTGCCAACAAGCTCCGGACCTACAGCGGCGACACAGTGCCCGAGGAAACGGCCATATCGTGTTACAGTGAGCTGCGAGGCAGTATCAATGGTCCTGAACATGGCTTGAATGACCTGAGGGTCTGTGCTTGTGTGGTCACCCGGATGTCAGGTTTGTTTTCCGGGTTGAGTTCTTGACACGGTGTTTCAGGCTGCAAAGGGCTTGAGGTGCAATGCTGAAGCCACATGAAGGGGAAGGCTTTAGCAGCCCTAGGGACCTTCCGGACGATCTGTGGTCGATTGAGCAACTGAACAGAACAGCTTGGCAGCAGGATCAGGATGTGTTGTCTGGCAGCAATTGGACCTTCAGTTTGCTGCATGGCATGCCTAGCTCGGAAGTCAGACAATCAGAAAGTCCCTTTGGACAGGAGCTATTGAGCGCCCCAGTGCCGAATGAGCTTTCACCAGCGACGGACAAGGTTCCGACTTGGCAGTGATTCCCCCCCTCACTCCCTCGGATGGCGCATCTTAATATTTCTTACCTTGCTTGACAATTGTGCGATGATGCTTGGAAGCGCTGCACTTGTCCACCGCCTTCGCTTTGTTGAAAGCCAGTTTGCCGTCTGTGCTCCAGGTGGACAGTCCGGCAAGGGTTCCGACCTGGCAAGCCCTCATTGATGGCTGCTGGCGTTGCACGCTGTGCAACAAGATGATCGATGAACAGCGCCCTGTCGGGTGACAAACTTATGCTTCCCGGTGTAGCACTGTCCTTGTTGATGATCAACGTGCGTCTTGGGTCTTCCTTCCGTCATTGTGAGACGGTAGTTGTGTTTGTTCGTCCAGTTGTGCATGAGACTGCAGGCATGTTACGACGGAGCAGCACAAGACCAGGCAAGCCAGTCGGAATCCACAGAGTCGGCATTCCTCGTGCGTTCATTTTGCCTATACACTGTGCCCATCAGTGCTCAAACCATTTAGGGTCTAAGCTTGCTGATGTCTTCTCTGGTATGGTTTGCGCAGGAAGACGTCGCCGTAGATGCTTACAAAGTGTGGAGCCGTGTGTGTGTGTGTGCGCGCGCCTAAAATTCCAAGATTGCAGCGAAATCGGGGTACCTGATGCTTTCACTTAATGATTGTTAATTGTGGAATTGGTGCACACCATGTGCGCCATATTTTGAAGCCCATCCCATGCAGGCTGGCCCGCTGGCAAGAGGCTCCGGTTTGGACCTTCTGATCAGTCCTGTTCGAAAGCTTATCTTTGTGGACATCTGGGGGGCTGTACCAGTGAAGCTGCCTATTGCCTGCGAAGCTGTGTTTGCGCCTAGGGCCTAGTTACTGGCCCTGGCCCAACAAGATTGCAAGTACATGGCACGCTGTTCTTGCAGGCCCAGGTGCTGGAAACATGTGGTTCTGGGCTGAGCTGAGCAATTACAAAGAGCAGCGAGTCGAGTGCTTGCTAATGATGTGCCTGTAGGATTACGCTGGCTTCTGCTGGTTTGAAGATCAGCAGTATTTTGTGTGTGTGTTGAGGCATACCGTTCCAGCTCAGCAACAATTTGGCAAACGCATGCTGTCACCAGCAACACTGACACGGTGTGGCGAGTCATGAAAGCTCGAGGCTACCAGGCACCTGATCTTCCATACCTGGCCTATGTGCCTCATGCCACTTGTCTTCAACCCCGTGTTGTCGTTTGTGCGGGGACACGGCAAGTAGCCTGCATTCATTTGGTGCGTAGAAGCTGAGGAAGACGGATACAGATTTCTAATGTGCCTGCTGTGCCGAAAGAGTGGCAAGCCGCATGGCACTTGGGTGACAGATCCAGCCTCTCACATGGGCACGCACCTTGGTCCTTGCAAGAGCTGATCCGCAAGTAGTGCAGCTAAACCGATGCAAAGAGTCAGCTTCGCTGCAGATGCAACTGATTAGATGATATTAGATGGTGCGGGGTGCTTGGTAGATCGATCCACGTGGAGGGGGTTGAATCCATTCTTAGATCAGAGCGTGGCGGGCTCCTTTGTGAAGAGCTCAGGCATGAAATGCCTGCAGGCTCGAAGGAGCACCGCCGGAATCTGCAGACACATGGCGGCTCCTTGAGACTTTGTGCTTGGCAGTGCTTGGTAGTGTTGCATATTTTGGGATACTTGCCTGTCCTTTTCGTTAAGGCACTAGCCGCCACATGTGCATGGAATTTCATGACACCGCAATACAAACATGCCAGAAGGCCAACGGAACCACGTACTTTCTAGGCTGGCTTTGCGGAGACATGCGTGCAATGAGAAGTTCGGGAAGCAAGAAAAGGGTTGCTGAGGGTAGGGACTTGCAACATGGGCTACTGAGAAGCCCACTTATGTAGGCATTTTCCCAATTTCAATAAGGCACATTGCTGTGGAGTTTGCTTCAACTGCTGCGAAATCAAACAATGCTTCAAAGAATGCTGCATGCCTTAAATTGACTTTTGCAGTTGGACCTGGGTTTTTTTCTTGCTGCCGGCGGGTTCTTGCTGTCTGAAAAGGTCTCGGCAGCCATGCATGAGTCGGTCGAGGCAGCGGGCCGTCGATCGGTCACATACTAGGTTAATAGACATCAGTATTCATGAGTTGGCAGGTGCAGCTAGGCAAAAGATGCTTCCGGGCCCGGCCCCCGAGCTTTTTCCTTGAGGCTTCCCAGGGTCATTTGGCGGCCCAGGATCGATTTGTCTAAACCCCTTGGCACATTGACTTCACCACTTCAACCTTTTTGCACCATCTTAAAAATCCTTTTCGGTCTTCTAACAACAAAAACGTTCTTGAGTACACTCTTCGAGCAGTCAGACATCATTCTTTCAGCTATGCTTCCGTTCCGGAAAACCGTAGTGCTGCCATGTATTTCCAGCAGCGCTGCCGGGGTTTGAAGCTGATCGGGCACTATGATCAATTTTGCATTTTGCCTGGGAGCCCGGGCGCAGCCCGGTTGTTAAAAAGGCCACGCCTTGATTGCAGCTGCTATGGCAGGAACACTAAACAGCCACAGTGTGCCGTGCGGGATGGGAGGTGCAACTTTCGTTACCGTCGGCGAAGCAATGGCCATATTGCCAGATCAACCCGAAACCATAGTTGCAAACGCTTGCAAGCCCCAAGCCATTACCAGGATTTAATGCATTACTTCCCCAGCCGGAGTTTCGAGTTTCTTTCTTGGCCGAGACCTGGAGTCAGGAATTATCCTCCGCAGCATCCTTGGTATGTCTCGAATGTGACGTTGGCGCGCCTCCAGTACCACCCGGAGGACGGGATAGTGATACGTTAGAGCTGCTCGAAGCCTGGGTTGCTCCTGTGCAGCTGTGCAAACGATGTAGCACACGGCAGGACAGGGAGCTGAGTGATGATCAGGATGTTCCTGCACCCTCGTAGCAATTATATGCCTGACGCCGGTGCTCCGGTTGACGCCGTTGCACATTTATGCAAGGCCAACAGCGATGTGATTTCGCCTGGCGCAATGATTAAGCGGAGACCTTGACGCTATCAAAGCGGTTGGGCCAAGGTTTCAGGTTGACTTCGATGAGTCTGCTTGTGGCAGAATCTAACGCGTCAAGTAGGGCTTTGCCAAATCATCCGATTCCTGAACCGCAAGCTCAGGAACAAGCTCTCGAAGGAGCACCGTCCAGCTGATCCAGAAAGCGGGGGCAGCCAGACAAAGACATGGCTCGAGGCTCAGCCGCCGCTCGACAGCAAAGGCTTTTAACGGCTTAAAGAGAGCAACATCCAGCAGCCGCGCAAATGACTCAATCAGGTAGTCGTAAGGAGCTCAATTATTTTACAGAGCAGCATACGAACTTGAGCCATCCGCAGCCTTGGCTGCTGCATTTGTTTCCGGTGCGCCAGCGGAACCTGCAATTTCGGATAGTTAGTCCTAGAAATCTTCCTGCAGTAGTCTGCGAGTGCAGTTGCGGATCAAAAAAGGGCTGAAGGGGAATTCGTTTGAGGAGGTGGTAGCAGTGGTTAGCATGTACGCATCTGAAATCATCTGAATGAATACAGAACACATGCAGGAGCCCCCAGCTTCCTCCAGGCTGGGAGAGTGCCCGTGATAGTGCACCTTGGCTTCATTTGCTGGAATGTAGCTGACCTCTTTCTTGAATCTGGCAACCATTGCTATCCTATGATGCTAGATCAGTATCGCAGCTCCCCCCCAGCCAATCGCTCTCTCCACTATCTGTCTCTCGCTCTCCCTCTCTCTCCCTCTCTCTCCCTCTCTCTCCCTCTCTCTCCCTCTCTCTCCCTCTCTCTCCCTCTCTCTCCCTCTCTCTCCCTCATCCTCTCTCTCCCTCTCTCCTACTATGCTCACGAATGTCCTCCCTTTTTGCCAGCTCCTTGTGCGGATCATGATGCGTGCTTGCCTGCCGCCAAGGAAGGGAACACATACTACTATCACTGCCAGGACCGTGTGCCACAATGGCAGCCACTTGGATGTCCTCCCTGTCATACCCAAAATTGCAAATCGAATGGTCACCTCTCGGCGTGTTGGAGAAATCATTTGGAGCTACCTGTACAAAAAATGCGCCGCAAAACCCGACAGAGTTTAAGGCTGTGTCTGGTCGAGTCTTGTGAAGCACAGCCGGCCCAAACTTTTTGATGCGTGCACTCATGTGGGCAGAGTCCACACACAGCTTGCTGAAGCCACTTCATGTCCTGAGGTTTCCAGCATCTTAGTGAGAGCGGCAGCGTGACCATGTGCCAAAAGGGCACAGCGGCACAGCGGTGCACTTTGCTTAGACGCTATGCAGGCGAGCCCTGCCTTAACGGAAGAGCAGCATGGATCAAACAGCTGCTTAAAAAAAGCGCCCGGACTCCAAAGTCGACCTCGCATCAGCAAGCTCGCAACTTGGCAGAGCCCGCAAACACTCTTGGTGAATACGCCAAGCAGCAGGTGAACCGGACTGCAAGGATTGCGCTGGCCCTCATTGCGCGTGTGGAGGCACCTGGAAGCAGATGCGAGGGCTGTTGCGATGCATGTGTGTCGGAGCAGCGAAGGGCGTGTCGAGTTGGGCATGTATCTACAGGTCCGTTACCAAGAGATTACTAGAGGTTGATTTAATCTCAAGAAGAGAAAATTTGTCTTTGTGAAAGTTCCATGATGGCGCCGTCAAAGGGGAACATTTCTTGTCGACAACTCTGCCATAACCCATCTTGCGCATTGTATTTGCCAGCATCCAGGGCCTTCGTGTGGGGACCAACCTCTTGGATTTTTTTGGTGTTGTTCATTACCTTTATTCAAGGCAGAAGTCGAAGTCTCAAAGGCAAAGGCTACCGCTGCAGCTTTTCTGCATGAAGGCCAGGCAAAGTTTTAAAGAGTTCAGGCACCAGGGGAAGTGGAAATATTTTATCGAAGTTGTCGCTCATAAGTTAAGTTCCGCATAGGCCTGGTGCAGATCGAGATTGTTTAGGTAAGGACAGGCTCTTAGTGTTGGTTGGTGGAAGAAGAAGAAGTCGTCGTCGTCGGCACTCGTAGTCGTACTTGTACTCGTATGAGTACTAGGTACTAGTACTAGTACGCCCTGCTGTGAATTGACCCGCTGTCCTTTGCCTGCAAGAACATTTGGTGATCGTACTTTTTCGCTTCTTGTACAGGAGGCTGCTATTCTCGCAAGTCCGTGAACGAGTCAAACGAGTGCTGTCTCTCTCTCTCTCGCGTTCTGTTTCTCCGTCATCTGTCACGTCTTTGTTTTGTGTTCGGAATTTGCCAAAGCCACGCTGCTAGCATGTGGAAGCATGTGTTGCAGGACGAGCGGCGCGTGGCAGAAACACCAGCCTCCACCAGCATCCGCACATTGTGCCGGCTTGATGGTCAGCGTTCAGCGTTACAGTGTTCAGCAGATGGTGGATGCGAAAGAACCGGATCGTCTGAAGCTGGCCGGCTGTTTCGCAGCGAGGGGCTGTTGAGAGGCACGGTTTTGGCATACCCTACTCTGCCGGACGCCGACTCTCGCTCTGACTGTTTATGGTTACCCTTGTACAGTACGGTCGCAGGTCGCAGCAGTCTTGTGTAGGCATGAAGCATGTGCAGAAGCATATGCTCCATGCATGTTTTGAAGTTGCCGTCACAGTCAGCCAGTCCCAGCAGCAGTTGCGGGAAACTACATCGGCAACTTCAAGGCGTGTGCAGCTAACCACGTGCGCGCCTGCACTTGTCTTTGAAATCGCCAGAAGCTGAAAGCGCCAGGTACTGACTCTGCTCAGGGTTTGAAACATGAGTCTTTCGTATTGATGGAGGCAAAACTAACATTCGCGGGTCACACGCAAGGGAATTTTGTTGCACTTGAACACGTGCCGGCCGACCAGCGGTGCTTTGGCAGCCAAGGTGAGGTGAAACATTGGATCACGCTGAACGCAGCTGGCTCCGATTAGTCTGCTCGAGTTCCCACTTCACTTGGGCAAGCCATAGGTAGACAAACTTGAGCCCAGGAGCCCTGGTGTGCCTGCGCTCTTGGCTATGGCAGTGGCGAGCTTCTTGGCCTACTTGGCCGAAGTAAGTCCAGCGGCGTAGCCTCAGAATTCAGAGCTAAGCTCAGGTGGTCATGCCTGACTGTGTGTCCACTATGCCATGTTGAGGCATGCTCCTGGTCGAAGCCAAGATCCGGGAAAGGAACCGCCGCACAGCCGATAATGAATTCAGGCAAAACGGGTGGAATGGATGATTGCACATTAGGCGCACACAAATGCCAATGTTCGGCTGCATGGCCCCAACATGTTCTCCACCTTTGGCTTGTGCCTCCCCATGCGCACCGCCCTTGTGTTTGCACGCGCCCCTGTAGGACAGCAAGCTTGTTTGGCAGAACCACCCTGTGGGTTTAGAGTCAGAGCCGCTCAGGTATCTTGCTGCGCATCACATGCTTCTGGCTCATGCCAGAGCTTCTTCGCTGCACAGCGAGGATGCACTGTGTCATGTGTGAACTTAAGAAGATGACGGGCAGTGCTGGAGGTTCCCGCTGTTGGACCGCGAACCTGTATTCGCCTTCCACAGGCTGTGAAGTGCTACCGTGATCAGTACCAGAACACGCAGGGAGGCAACATAGGCGGGGGCCGTGTTTATCTCGCTGTTTCTTCAGAGTCTCTCGTGCCTTCGCCGGCTTTCTTCAACTCGCTTAAATGCTTAACCCAAGTTGAATGGTCAATTGTGTGAAGTTGCGTGCCCAGGTCCTATAGCGCGATTTTTTTAGGGTAGCAAAGGTCCCCACAGCATTCAGTGCGTGGCATTTGCCTGACCGCGTGACCAGACTTGAGCCAGAGTTTCAGCGGTTGCGCAATGGAAGAGTTCTACGGTGCATGTCGCAGTATGTTAGCTCAAGTCATGAACCCTTCCCCACGCGATGCATCCAGAAGTGGCGGCACACATCTGCATGTGCTATCGACCCTCAGCGTGGGAAATCCAAGCATTGTGAACATTCCACAGTTGCAGCATGTCCTCGACACCTCGTTCTAAACCCCCATAGCCACCCAAGCATCGCATCGCATGGATAGTCCTTTAGAAGTCCTGTGAACGGTCCTTTCAAGCCCTGTAAGCGCTGCGATGGCGTGGGTGGCTTTTGCAAGCGGCCGTGGGCACCAGGTTCAGTTGGCTCAGTTGGCACCCCAGCTCGGTTTCACAACGAGTGGCAATCTCAGGTAAGCCAACATTGGCTTGCGCCCAAAGCAGGGCTTGTCGAGATGCCCCACATTTCATGTATGTGTCGGGACGGCGGGCAAAGGCATTCGGTGTGAGTTCTGGGCTTGGGTTGACCATGCCCGGACATTTCGATATTTATTGGCCCCCAAATATAAAACCCCCAATTAGTAGGACTCCCCCAAATATCGGAAACCCGCATAGTGCCATGATGAAGAGGTTAATTTGTTTTTGAAGATGCTTTGGCTGCATTTAGGGTAGCTCTCTGTGCTGAGGTCACCCGCAGCAGCGCAGGAACGGCTTCAGTCGCTGCCTTCATCTCCAGGCGTGGAGGTTGCACTGGCTTTTGTACAACTTCTGGCTACAATGTCTGCCCAGGCTCACGTCAACTGTTTTGCGGGCCCGGGCTTACTTAGATTTTGGGGGCCACCCACTAGCTGAACGTGTTTTCTCCGTAGCAGCTAGCTCTCTCAGGCTTGGTTTCTGACTTCCTGACTTCGCCGGGGCTGAGGGAAGGGGAGCTTCTGAGGGACTGCAGGGCTGCAGCTTTCCCCGGTGTGCCTATAAATATCAATCGGCTTTGCTAAGGGGCGGCAAGAGCTGTTTAACTTAAAAAGCTGTCGCGATTTGGCTTTGGGCGATCGCAGGCTTGAGGTCCCTCGATCTCATATCCTTCGGTATATTTCGCTTCTTGGAGCCTCCCTCCGGGTTTCGGTCTGCCAAGTTGCTCATCCAAGCTGGTTGATGATGCAGTACCCAACAACACTCCTTGCTAAATAGTTGCCGTCCCCCAAATCCATGGGTCCGTGTCTGGGTGGGAGGGGGGTTCATTTAACCGTGCGCAACACTGCCAGATCAAAGGAGAGCGCTTGTTGTGAAGAGCCTTCAGGGCATCTTCAAGCAGCGCAATGTTGATGACAATGTGCACTTGTCAGGGGCAGCGACGTCGCACGGGTCATTGCGTCCGCAGCTTAGTGAATGAGCTGTTAGCCAGCTTTGTCTCTATTCACATCTCAATTGGATCTGCTTTGATTGGCACTGCTTCTTTTGCTGATACCTCGCGCTCTTGCTTGTAGTAGGGTGTAGATTTTGTGCAAAAGCCGGGCATGCCCCACACTTGCTCATGTTCTGCGTGTCCGCGACCTCTCTGACAGGCAGTACCGTTGCCACAGCAAGCATTGCTGGTCTGGCTGTTGGCCTGAGGCACCCGTAGCTTTGTGCAGTTTGTGCGCATGACGCGGTGTGAAGCGGCTAAGCCCGCCTTGAGTTCGCTCCTGCTCAGCCACTTCCTTTGTGTGCGTTTTCTTTTGGCATGGAAGAAATTTGAGGGCGTGGCCAGGCAGGGAAGTCACGGGGCTGAGCAATTGTTAAAGACCAGTGCAGGCAGATCCCTATACGGAAGTTCACGTGCAGGATCCTTTTTCGTATTGTCCTACGGAACACAACCCGTACCCTTACTGAAGCATCGTACATCCGATGCCCTGACCAACTTGACTCTGCCCTTGTGTACGGTAGTCATAAGGGCACGGTAGTCGGGCGAGGCTCCAGACGACAAAGTCGGGAGGGTGGCAACTGTCACTGGCCCAACTCCCGGACAGCTTGATCTTTTCCCAGCAAATCCAACCCATGCAACGCTTACCTCTTCACTTCGAAACCCCGATGCAGAGCCAGATGCCCTGATGGCCCGTAGGAGCAGCAATGCCGGTCGACGTGTCGGCCGCGCAGCGGGCACTCCAGGGCCTACCCCCGTGCAGGAAGTGATGCAGCATGGACGTCACTAGGGCTGTTGTCCTTGCGATGTCGCCTGTAGCTTTAGCGTATCTATGGCAGAGGCTTAAATGTTCCTACTGTATCTGTGTGAGCAGCTGCAGACTAAGTTATGTGGTCGCAAGACATGGCTCGTGGCACGGATTGGCTATGAAGGTCTAGAGGGCCTCATAGAATTGGAGAGCCGATCCCAGGCAAGCTCTGGAAGCTGTCAAAGATCCTGATCTGGGCACCGACATTGTCTCCAGCGGCTTTGTCGGCCAGATCAAGGCTCGTGAATTGAAGGGCTCCAGTTGCGTGGCTGAAAGTCTCTACAGAGTTTGGAGCAACGACTGAAACCCATGGTGGTGTTGGAGTTGAGGTTGGGCTGTTCCGTTTCAATTAGTAAGGCCCATCGACGGTGTTCCTGTGCGATCGGTGTTCAGGCAGAACGCATCACCGGGAACATTTCTTTGGTCCTGGAAGTGGAAATGTACAAGGCAGAAGTTGAGGACCTCTCTGCGCGGCTTTGGCTTCCGGTGTACACATGGCGTCGGAAAGCTCTTAGCGATCTCTCTTTTCTTTCAGGAGCGGCTGTCGGAAATTCCTTGGGCAAAGACTGTAGAAGTGCGAGTTGGCTTCTCGACACATACACATTGTGCGAAGCATTGTGTGCAATATGTTGTGCACTTATCGCGTGTGGCCCAGAAGGGCTTCGGCAGGGGTTGGCGCCTGCTGGCTTCCCTAGGTGCTGTTCGCACACAGACGTCTGCAACGAATCCACCTCGACCGATGCCGCAGATGCCAGACTCGCTAAAAAATGTGAAGAGCCTTGGGCCGAAGTATACGCATTGGTCCGTGAAGTCGCTGAGAGTGCATGGCGATTCCTGGGGGGTTCGCAATTTGTGTTGACACGTGGCGTGCAGGAGTATCGTGGCTGTCTCTTCCTGCAAAGGCGCTGGAAGCCGCACAATCGTCGATACATTGACCCGCTTTGCTGCTTTGCTTTTCCCCAATTGAGCAGGCGGAGTCGGCAAAAGCACGGTGGCCGTGAATCTAGCCTTCTCGCTTCATAACAAAGGCTGGACGCCAAGCATGGTTCAAGTACCCGAACCTTCATGTCTTGACGTGGGGTGCTGCAACAGAATCAGTTGTGCCGCGACATTCTCCCAGAATGTCCAGTCTCAGTTGCGCGCTGGAAATCAGCAGGCTTCAAAGTCGGAATCTTCGATTGTGACGTGTATGGTCCCTCCTTGCCGGTCATGGTCCGCTTCCAGGATTGTCGTGAAGCAAATAGTGACCGTGTCAAGGGGCAGACGTTGATGTCCGAAGCGAGCGCTTGTAGAAGCACCTGTTGCTACAGGGTCGGTTGACGAGCTTGTTCATTGTGCTGCCACAGGAGGACACGCCAAAGATGGAGATGTACCAGGATGAGCAGAAGCAGATGCTGGGCTTAAACAGCAAGCCGCGACGCACAAACCTGGGAACAGGACTGCTGCACGAGCTCTGTCTGGCCTGGATCTGGCTAAGGAAGCACATCAGACCAGTCATTGACCCGAAGACCGGCATCAAGATGGTATCCTTTGGCTTCCGGCACTGATTTACTTAATCCCTCATCCCTACTCATGCCTCAATGTGTCGCTGGAGTCTGTTCGTAGGATGCTTCTCTTAACTAAGCTTTGCGTGGGGGCCAGTGTCGACAGCATTGGTGAACTCTCAAGCGTGTGGTGTTTCGACAGTAGCTTCTCAAAATCAAAAGTAATCGAGTCAACGAAGTCGCAGTTTCAGGATTGGCTAGGACATGACGGGCGCAAGCCAGATTGAGGTAGTGCTGGTGCCAGCTAGTGAATGAAACATGCACAAACAGCATGGTTGCTAAGCTATCTTCTTTTGCCTATTGCTGCCGTGGTCCGGGATTAGTCTGGGATTGATGGTCTCCATATGCCACTGTGCCAACACGTTGCTGATTTCCTACAACCGAGTTGAGTGATTCAGCCTGCGCGCACAATTTGAGATCTCAGGCTTCGTCGGACATGCTGCAGTGATGCGTGGCTCGATGGTAACAGGCTGGAGAACTTAGCGGACTTAGCGTGGGGCAGCTGCCGCCCTTCTATGACGTTATGAGCGATGAAGAAGCGAGTGAGACATATAAACACAGTTGGAGGAAGTTGGGTTCAGAGCAGTTAAGCGGCACAGCGACCCCAAGCTGCCCCTCCTGCCGCAGAACTTTTTCCGAGCATCCGAGAATGAGCCCTGAAGGTGTGATGTCGCAGCTGGTGACCCAGACGGATTGGGGAGATCTGGACTACCTCGTCTTGGACATGCCGCCAGGAACAGGGGACATCCATCTCACGCTCTCGCAAGTGTGCCAGATTACTGCAGCCGTGATCGTCACAACTCCGCAGAAGCTCAGCGTCATTGATGCAGCCTGTCATGCAAAGAATGCTTAGTGTGGCCATTGCATTTGGGGCTACACGTGACGTTGGCAGCAAATCCAAGCACGACACGAGCACAGCATCAGTGGTGCAAAGGTGGAGCGGGGGATCTCCATGTTCAGCCAGCTGAACGTACCTTCTGTGGCAGTCGTGCAGAACATGAGCCGCGTGAGTTGCATAGGGTTTCGGCTGTGGTTTTTACAGGCGTTGCGTAAAAGGGCTGCGTACAGTGCTTTCGTGACAAGCATAATTCCAGTCATGTCCTACTGCCTTGGTGTACCACTGCGCTACTGGGCTACCCATCACAGGCTACATGTCCCTTCCAAATGGTGAGCGACAGTACATCTTCGGGCAGACGGATGCTGGCTATGCCATTGCCGATACCTTCGGCTACTTGGATGAGCAATTTCAGAGTATCTTTGGCCTACCGCCGAAGCCGCAGACGTCTGTGTCCGTCGGCGAATGCGGCAAGTAAGTAGACATGCAAAGCGATTGGTGATCATTTCCTGCATGGGATATCATGTCTATTTCGCCTTTTCCTCGGTCCTTGGGTCTCTCGACTTTCTGCAGGCATTGAGCAAGTGTTCGAGCTCCCGATCGAGGCCTCAGTTGCATCAGCAGGCGACATGGCTGAGATGCGTCTCTGGATCTGGAGAAGGATTCATGTGCAAGGGCAGGGCACGCAGATGTGTCTCCAACATATCGGGCGCTGGCATGAGGTATCTTTTTTCTTGCATTCGTTTCTGCACTCGCTTCAGTTTTGGCAGCCAAACCGTGCCAACTAGCCAGTCGCAAAGCTGTTTGCTTTAATAAATGGACCCCACATCCTCAGATCCATGGCACTCCTCGTCACCAAAAGAAGGTGACTCTGGCACTCCATTCGGCAATACTGGTGGCAGCGAGACAGCCATGCAGATGGACAAGCTACTTCGTTGCAGCTCTTGTGCAGTGTCACCACATCTTAGTCGGGGCGGTTCTGCTTAAGTCAGCTGCGTCAGCTGCGTGAAGTGGCTTGCTGGCTCTCTATCATCTGGCAGCCAGGCTGACCGATGCTGTAATCAGCGAAGTGCAGAAGATCCACGAGAACCGCCAGCAGCCAGAGCTGTCCTGGGATAGCTTCTTGGCTACTGCAGTAAATGGAGGGGAAGGGGGCAGATGTTTCGGAAGTGTTGGAAATTCTATTTTTGGAGGAATCCCGAATCGGTTCCCTGCGCATATTCAAATCCCCGGCCAAATTCCTGCCCAGTGGGAGTCCGAGCACATGTGTTTGTCGAATCCCGATGTGAATCCCTTTCGAATGCACATGTCCCAGCACAAGCTTTTTGTTGAATCGAATGCTGATTGTAAACGCTACTCTGTTGGTGCCTCGTATCCCGGGCGAAGTCTCTGCTGCTTGTTCTTTGAACCCCCCCCGTGCATTTTTCCCATTATGTTCCTTCCAAGATGCTCGATTGGCTTGTGTTCCAGATCGTGGCCCGAATCCCCGCTTTGTTTACATCTTGCAGTCACCAAGAGAAATTGATGCACGCTCCCGCGTTCGCTGCGTCAGCTGTGCAAAATTTGCTTTTTTGAGAAGACCCTACGCCTGCAAAAGCGGACCTTCTTGATAAAAGCGGGCTCGAGGCGGGGGGGAAATGTGCGCGTGACCGAGGCAAGAGCAACGGAATTGGGACATTTCATATTTTCCCTTATTGGGTTTGAGAGGATCATATCCAGGATTCTTTTTCGCAGGGTTTTCAGGGCAATCCTAGTCTTAGAGAGGGGACGCACGAAGCGTACAAAGCGTACCTGTAATCAAGAGCCTGCCACAGTCTCGCGACATGGAGCGATACAAAATCTGCCTCTTCGAATGGCGCCCAAGTCTCTGGTTGCCAGTCTCTCAGAGCAACACTCTTGCCGAGGCTGCGTCTAGGTATGACGAAAACACTGGCTCTTCGACAGTCCAGACATGACAAAAACTCACGAAGACACCAACTATCAAAAGACTGTCACGACACAAAGAAAGTCCAAACACCAATTGCGGGGCCATAGCTGGATGTCGTAGCAGCATGCCAGCCCATGAAGCGTAGTCCTCCCCAAGGTGAGCGCAGGATACTCCGCCTGAAGCTTGCAGGCGGTGAGGAATCACTCGGGCTGTATGGGATGTTTATAACCACGGTGGTCCACAGGGGATCGTTGCACTTGTTGTGGTATTGGTACTAATTGTTTGTTATTGCAGTTTAGGCCCTTCGGCGTCGGCCTGAGAGGTTCTCAGGAGGTATCAGGAGTTCTCCCGCCGTCCTGCACACAGTGAGCAGACATCACAGTAACCCTTCTGGCCCTTCTGCCACCTGCTGCCACCTATTCTACTTCTAAGAATTTGGCTGGCGTACCTTGGCAGGAGCTTGGAATTGACCCACGAGAACTGAGGCTTCGAGACAAAGGCAGCCACCTTCTGATGTAATGACGGCATAGGGGAGAGTAGAACGAAGCCAAGAGGCACTGTTGTCTCATCCCAGGCAAGAGCTCTCGACCGTGTAAATGTGTCACAGTCTTATATTCCTTCTACCAGGGGTCTCTTCGTTCTGGTGCGCTACAGATCACTTGCCCTAAACCCAAACGTCCCTAAATCCCAAACCCTAAACAGGGGGGGGGTGGGGGGGTGGGTGGTGGGGGGTGCCCCCACGACACCTCCTGCCCACCCCCCCCCCTGCCTACACAGGAGAAGGACCAAAAACAACCGAATTTGTTGTTTTGTGTTGGCTGCAACCCAATTTGTTGTTTTGGAAAGCGGCCACCCTAACCCCCCCCCCCCCCCCCCCCCCCCCTACCCCCCCCCACCCCACCTCGGCATCGTTGAGTAGGGAACACCCTGAAACCCTCAATCAGGCGGCAATACAGAGGGGCCTAACTCCCAGGTTCTGAGAATCAGCGGAGGGCCCAAGAGTCCGGAAGAAGTAGCCCAGAATAGGATGTCCCCCCCACGGGCCCCACTAGGAAACTCAAGCCGCCAAGGCCTCTGAAACATCCAGAAACCCGGTTTTCTCATTAAAAAGATCACATAGAACAGCATAAAGCTTTTCGAAACCCGGCCGTAGACCGAAGCTCTCAAACCTAACAGGCGCTGGTGGAGTGACACCACCACCTGCAGACCTCTCCCCGGATGAGATCGTAGACATGGGAGACATGTCTGCCTTGCTTGTAATGAATTGTAATGCCGATCTTTCGTTCTGCTGACACCAAGATGCCAAGAAAGTACCAGGCATGGGGCTCACGGCGACACATGCTTGCGCTGGGCTGCTGTGCAGAGTCCATGCCTGGAGATGAGGAAATTATGCCGTTGTCATCAAGTGGTCGGACGGCGTTGTTCAAGTGGCACCGCACAAGTGACGTGGCTGAGTATCTGAATAGGAGAAGTTACACTATTCGCTGACGTGTCGAAGTGGTGGGAACGTGCTGGCTTTGCCATGAGGCAGCTTATCGACGGGGATGAGAAAGGTCCCATGCCGCATGTCGAGCTGGAGGCTGCCTGAGCCAAATTGGCGCAACCGGTCAGCCTCAAGGTGAATGGGTCCCGCAACACCTATCCGAGTCTCAGCCATCATCTGTCTTCTTTGAGCAACTTACCTAGAAGCATGTTCCTCAAAATTGCATCAGCGCGCTTGCTGCAAGCAGAGGCACCGAAACTGCAGTGTGCGGTCGGCAGTTCTCACGAGCTTGGCTCGGCAGCTGAAGCGACACCAGATTTCAAGCATTTCACGCGCAGTATTCACACCCCAAGCAAACCTTTTTGCAGGTGTGGATTCAGAAATAGAGTTTGGCGACCCGGGTGCTTCAGCCGCTCTTTTCATCGTCTCATGCGATTTTTCTTGGTGCTAGGTTGTGCCATTGGGATGAGCTGCAGGGGCTGAGCTCACGCTGATGAAATCAAGAAATGTGTTATGAACTGTTGTTATTGGCCCGCCAGCTGCCAGTGCCTCATCTCAACATACCTGCTATGCTTCGAGTTAAAAGAGAATGTCCTTTCGCGTTGCACCTGCTTTGTGATGTAGATCTCAAGAGAACTCAGCACGACCGAATTTTAATTTGGAAGGCATCACACTGAACATGGACTGGAAGGAGACGTGAGTTTTCTGCCAACTGTGGGAGTAGGCAAGGCTTCACATGCACATTGTTCGGCATGGGTTTACTACTTTGTTGTCAAAAGATGCAGATTCGCGGGATCCGGAGGGGGGGGGGGGCAGGGCGCACACAAAAATGGCCACGCAGGAGCCTTTGGGCGACAATGCAGCGGACCAGGCTGCACAGCGACGTCCTTCACTCGCGAAAAGAGTTTTGACAAGCCCCACACATGTGACATCAGTGGACGATTGTTTGCCCTAAACCCTAAACCATAAATTGGCTGAGGTGCTTTAGACTGGCAGCTTGGTTGGTTTGCCGATCCGATCTACAAAGGCTTGCGTTCAACGAAGCTGTGAACAGAAGTCAAGATGCAGTTTTGAGAAGCCAGAAAAGCAAAACATGCGCAGATTCATTCGGCAGTTCTTGACATGTCCCATGTATTCCTTTGCCATCTGGGCATAGGCGCCTACCCAGCCACGATGCGCGAGCGATGCGGCGATCGGCTCCCGGAGTTCAGCGACAATGTGTTTTCCTCAGCAATTGACAATGCTGATTGGGATACACAGATATACAGATGACTTTGCAGCGTCGCCGATATCATATGTCACCGTAAGTTTTTCTTGAATTTGGGGCTTGAACGACATGGAATTAGGAATGTGGCTGTAGTTTGATCCGCATTCCTGGATTTCAGGAGGTGGAGCTGCTGAAGGGATCTTCCGATTTCTTTGGGCTGAACCATTACTCCACCGACTTCGTGTCACCGGGTGAGCAGCCTGGCAACCGTGGAATGAAAAAGTGTGGTATTAAAAAATTGCCTGAAAGCGCCAGGGCCACTTAGCTTCGGATCCACACGGCAATAGCCGTAGCTTTATAAACTTTCTTGTAAGCCCTACCGATGGCGGAAGTGTTCGGACGGACTGCCACAGTAACCCCGGCATCGGCCGTGCGGCATGTTCTAAATTCTACACTGCGTGATTCAAGAATGTGCGTGCAAAAGGCGCTAATGGTTTTGGGAAAATGCGCGTCATGTCTACCAAGGGATGGACCACCAGCTACTCCGAACTTCTTTGCTGACCAGGAGTAGGGGGTATTACGCGCGGCTTTGAACACAGAACTCGCAGCTGACCGTTCAGTCATGGATCACTCCAACAACTTGCGCAAAAGCACTGGCAGCTCTGAGCAGGACGTCAAGAACATTTCAGATCCACGTTGGCCGCTTTGCTTGAAATTGTGTTGAGATCGCTGTCAATGGTTTCTTTTTGAAAACATGAGCTCGGATTCGAAAACATCCATCCCGGCCAGTAGCGCTATACTACAATCAGATGGCAGGCAGAGAACCGACATGGGCTGGGACATCGTTCCATGGGGATTTGAGAAGCTCTTGTGTTGGATTCAGAGTCTCGGAGTGCAAGTGGATTTTGATTGTGGCACGCTGAAGGTTCACAGTTGATGCAAGACGTTTCAATCTGTACTCAGTACTGTATGGGGCACATGACAGGAGACAAGAATGACTTGTTAGCCGTTAGCAAGCTTGACACTGCTGTGAAGTAGTGAAGTGGGAGGTATGCAGGGCATGCCATTTGCGTTGCGACACGTGGTCTGAGGAAGGAGTATGCCCCTGCTGGTGGAATCCTTGTATCTCGGCTATGCAGAGAATCAACGTCCAAAAGCCTGGGGGTTCGTCCGCTGTGAAAACTGAATGGACAATTCAGGTCACCGAGAATGGTTGCGCCATTCGAGAAAATACGGAAGCAGAAGCACTGCAGGACGCTTGACTGACAAAGCAAAGGTGGAAATCATGGCATATTCGGCCACTGCCCCATTTTCTGGGGTTCTTTGTGCTGAGGATTCCACCCGCGTCGAGTACCTGCAGGGCTACCTTGCGCAGCTGCACAAAGTGCCTCATTTAAACCAAACTTTCATTGATCGTGAGGTTTGTCCAGTGATGGCAGCCAGCTTGTGAATCGCTGAATAATAGACGAGCAGACAGACAAAGTTAGGATGTCAGTCAAGAGTAACGGTGTTGGGTATCTAACTGCAGAGCATTTGCCACAATGCTTAGATATTGGGAGTCCAGCAAAGGCCATGGCAAACGGTGCGGCCATAAAAGGCTACTTGGCTCCCCGGTTGCACTGAATGGGCTTTGCTGCTGTAGGAGTGATTCGAAGTGAAGGTTTAGTTTGGAGATGGCCAACAGGCCGTGCGATTGATCTCACGTGCTCCGGTTCATAAGCATTGCCATAACGGCCTGAGAAAAAACAAGAGTTCTTAAGTCCTTCAATCTTCTAAATCGTTGTAAACATGTATGCCGTGCTTTTGGTTACTCGCCTTGCGCTTAGCCGGAGGTTTGGTCATTGCTGGACAACTTCGAGTGGTCCTTCGGCTACGCCAAGCGCTTCGGGATTGATTCTTGCCGTGAACACAACTTGCTGTTCAACAACCAAGCACGTCAGATTCACTTTCTAATTGGCCCATCGGTGCCACGCTTTGCCCAAAGGACGTTCATGAATCAGCAACCTTGACTCAAGTCCCAACACGTAAGGTATCTTAGCCTGACCACATCGGAAGCAACAAAACCCGCTTTAGCGATGCAAGCCAGGAAGCATCAGGAAGCCTTGCAGCCTTGCCCTCAGGTTCGTGTGGATTTCGTGACGCAGCAGCGCACGCCAAAGGCTTCCGCACACCTCATCTCCTCCTTGTGCAAGGCAGGGTGATGTTTTCGGCTCGTTGTAGCGACAGGCAGTGAAAGTTTGCTTAAATGAGGGCGTGTTGACGAGCTACATCGTGGCGACTTCATGTTTTACACTCGTCCTTTATCCAGGGTGAAAAGCTGAGAGTGCCCTCGCGCATTCACGTCTCCTCCGAGTTTGTGCCGTGCCTTGGCGGGCAGTTTATAGATGTGTGCCAGTTTTGTTATTGTCGATCACAGGTTCCTTGTGCTCATAGCGTGTGACGCATGCTGCAGATAGGCTGGGGACCGAAAATGTTTAAAGCACGTGAACGATCTGAGGTTCCACGGCAGGGGCAAGGACAGTTTTGAGATTTATTCCACAGGTCAGACGTGCTTTGTGCGATCAAAGCCAGGGGAGGGGGTTACAGAACTGTGCACGCATCAGGCCCAGGTTCAGCGCTTCAAGCTGCCTGGAAGTTAAGTTGGGAAAGTTGTTCTTGCAGTTACAACTGGCTTGAGCAGAACAAGCAGACTGTCAAGTGACGTGTGTCACCCTGTCATTGTCGGCAATCTCAACGCACCAGAGGAATTCAAGACCCATTCTACAGTACTACGATGCACGAAGCATAGGACCGTCAACACACATTCCTTCACCTTTTGCAGTGGCTGAATGGCTGAGCCACTCGCGCCCCTGAAGGAGCCGGAGGCCGAGCCCAAAAAGGCGGGTCCCACGCTGTCCAAGGCCGATGCGAAGCGTATCTTGGCTTCACAGACATTCAGGAGCAGAGGATATTTTTCAACTTGCAGCCGTATACATTCGGCTTCCATATGAAACGCGGCGCAGAGCTTATGAACAAGATTTGCGCAAGAGCCGCAGCAACAATAAACACCACAGATCAGACCAGCCGGAACTGCACATGTTGGATGACACACGGTATAAATGAAGCGCATTGGCGACATGTCCTCTTTTTACATAGAAAAGTTCTTGATGCGCATCTGCGATGTGGTTTTGCATTGTGGGTTTCATGTTCTTGCAGCTTGTGTAGTTTGCCGACAGCGAATGGAAGAACGCTCCACAGAGTGTCACGGACATGTGCTGCTAAACTGCTTGGACATGCATTGACATGTGGTGAAGGAATGCTGGAGGAGTTTCCTGGCTGGCAACTGGACTTGGGATCTGGATGGAGCCTGGGTAGCCTGAGGGACCTTGCAGTAATGCGCAAACTCTGCCAAGAGCGATGACAGACTGGAAGACGTCAAGCGCAGCCTACAAGCACCAAGCCTTAGATGATTTCAGGTTCATCGCGCGCTACCAGGACACGGGCACGGAGCTGCCAAAGATGTCCGGAGCAAGTAATGGTCTTTGCATTGCCTGTACACCATGACTCAACACCCGGGTTGAAAAGTCGGACCTACGACTGCAAAGTCCATCGTAGGATGCAGACAGGCAGGCTTGTGGGCGGCGGATCAACACTTGGAATATGTTCATGCAAGTCCAACACGTTCGTGTATAGTTTGGGGCGGGCACATAGGGCGCCTGGTGGTTTCGTCAGTTTTCTTGCAGTTTCATGACATTTCGGATGATTTCGTGGGGGGGGGGGGGGGGGGGCAGCAGGACATTTGACGTTTCTGCAGCAAAACGCGCTGTCGCAAGCGAATGTGACCATGCCCAAACCACTGGCATGTACAGCGCTTTTGCATCTTTACACAATATACAGCAAACGGATGTTTGACGTTCCTGCAACAAGGCGCGCTCTCGCAAGCGTTCATATTTTTTGAACATGTGATTATGCCGACGGTACGACGACAGTGATAGTAGCAAACATGTTGGTACAAGATGCAGTAGTTGCCGTGTGGTTTTCTGGTGACATGAAAAGCAATGTTTCGATCTTATAGTTGCCATCGATGCCGTAAATCATTTAAGCCTGTCCATCAAGACCAAACTATGTCCTTCCCCCCGGAAACATCAGACGGGTCTCTGCTTGGCAGGATGACCACTTTCAGACTAAGATGGTATCTCGAAAGCAAGCCAGTCCGCGGATGTCCGGCTTTGTTTTTGCTGTGGCAGCCCTTCCTAGCTAGCACTTTTGGTCACTGCGGTTGCTTATGGCATCTTCTGAGCCGTGCTAGGCATGAATCAGAGGAAACCCTGTGCGCATTCTGACGAAAAAACAGATCAGGTTAGCTGTTTCCAACAGTTTCTCATCCACAATGATGTTGCTTGGCTAGCAGATGGTTTCATGAGAATAGAGTTGCGCCAGACGCCTGCTGCATCTGACTGAAGAGCCAGTGCTTGTCTCCCGACCGTGGTATGCCCTACAGGGTGCTGGGGTGTCGCATCTTGCCTTTTCAGCATCGCTGCGCGGGTGCTGAAAGCTTGGGGATGTGTCAGTTTGACGTTTTCACATCGATTTCGAGTTCAGACCGACGCCTCCAAGGAGATGCGGCTTCTGAAAGCCCGGAGGAGTCTGTGCATGCCCATACAGGCCCCTGGGGCCCCTGCGGGCATTCCTTTGTATTCGCAAATTCGCAAAGAGGAGCATTTCTCCAATAAGATGTTCGAGCTACAGTGGTAAGGGAACCAGCGGTTTGCGTTACGCATTCTTCGAAGCAAGGATGGATGAAATCGCAGACCAACGGAAGTTCACGGCTTGCTAGACAAGCTGCCAGGGTTGCGCTGTTTGATCAATTTGCCACGCTCTGACCCAACAGGCAGAGATCATCCCAAAGCAACGTGGATGCAAAAGAAACACGAGCTACCGCGCGAGAATTTGTTGTGAGTTCAGAGTCAACCATTTCGTGAATGGTCAATCAGGGTCAAGTCGGAGGCAGATCTTAACCATTCCTAACTCCGTCTCCCCGTGAAGGCCCTGAGAACTCTAACCGTCAAAAACCATGAAAGGTACGGCTTCGAGCCCACAGCGCGTGGTGTTAGCCGAGTGCAGGACGGGGACTCAGTTGTAGCAGACTGTCAAAGCTCTTGCACCCCAACTGCGAGAGCGGACCCAACCGATATGCGAGGCCACCCTAAGCGCGCCCACGCTGACGGAGGACGCGTCCTTACCATCTGAAAGGTCGCGACAGGTTGATAGGGATTTCTGCTGCAGAATCGTACAGAGCTGGCAGGACCCTGAGATCCAGCAGATGAACCATTTTGTCGCTCTGCGAAAGGTTTTTTTTCGAGATTCGCGCTGGCCCGATGATCAATCCCAAACACAACAGTCTCTTGCAAACCCAGGTCGTGTACTTGACCGGAGATCTTCCGAAGTCGAAGGCTGCAGAAGGTGCAACTGTTTGACGCGATCAGCGTGTAGGGCTAAGATCTCGGCAGCCGCAAAAAGCTCGAGTCAGGCTGAGCCTTCGGTGTAGTATTATTGGAACAGGTTCTGGGAGACGGTTTTCATGAGCATTCTGTCTGATGTATGCTTAGGTGGCTTAGGTTATGTCAGGTTGCCAGGTTGTGGTGCTGTCTCTGATGGAGCATCCCACTCATGCTGATCTTTCGGCAGTGCTGCGAACGGCAAGAGCTGAAAAAGGGACTTAAATTCGAGGGAGTTTAGTAGGACAACCTTGAAGAGCTGGATGTGGGTAGAGTCGGGTCGAGTTCTAGGCAGATGACTCGCTGTTGTGAGTTTGAGGTGGCATAGGAAGACTTGCATTACAGCATTGTCCTGCCCTTTACTGCAACACGTGGCCCTCCCGCACCGACTACTTGCACATTAGATGCGTAGTTCGGGTCCGTTCATTCCCTTGATAACTGTCCGGAGACCCTGTCAACCGAAGTGTGCGCGCTCTCAGTGTTGCGCCGACATGTCAGGCGAACCACGGGCTTGTTCAACCCTGGGGAAGTCGGGAAGTTGCCATAATTTGCCATATCTAAGGCTGTGCCTGCAAGCTTCGGCCGCAGGTTCGACGCGCCACAGATGCTCCAGGGTTGCTCGCAAACAGGAGTTTAAATGCAGACTGGAACCCATTGCGTCACATTGCGCTGTTGGCTGTCTTTGGCTGTTGCCTTTCCTAAACAAAAACACATAGAAAGGATAAAGTCGCTCAAGCCCGCCGGCCAGGTTTTGGAACAAGTCTTGGAGCAGCTCCGGGCTCGGGCCCAGGAGTTGCTTGTCAAGTAGTTAATGAAGTTAATGCACATGGGCACCAACAGCTCACCTTCCTCTGCTGGCGTCCCTATGTTTTGTTTTCTCTGTTGGAAGCAGCATCCATCTCCATTCAGGCTACTTGAATGGTTTGTGAGGCTCATTCGTGCTTTCTCAGCAGCAGTGTCTTGCACGGAGCGTTTATCATTCTAATGAATTGCCACACCTACAAACACCTAGCCGCTCGGCTCAAGCGATCGGCTGGACCAAGTCATCCCTTCATGGTCCTCTAAAAGAAAATCTCGGTAGCTTGGCGGACAAGTGTTACACAGGGCTAACAGGCTTTGTTGAAGTTTGCACATGCCTTTGTTGCAACACTCGTGAGCTGAGGTCTGATTGAAGCAGTTACAATGAAGTTGGCCTGCAGGCGCTCTCATGGAACGCAAGAGGTTCTGCTTGCTGATGTGACAACGTATGTGCCAACGTGACAGAATGCAACAATCTGTCAAGCTTTTGCAGTTGTCACTCCGGCTGGCTTCTCTTCCCCGCCCCGAAAATTCCTTTACACATCTTTGTCAGAGATCCACCTCCTCCTCTCCCATTGATCCATGCGATTAAAAGGCTCACAAGCACGAGCTTGGTCGGTTGTCCCAGATGTCCGTGCTTGGACACGGTCGACACTTGTAAGGTGCGCCTTGGTGGCTTTGCTTTTCGCACAGGGAGGTCATGCTTTCCGCAGGAAGAAGGCCAGATGCTGCAATCATCTGCAACAGTCTCGAGATGTTGCGCCTGAAGCCGAGACCTGACGAGGTTGAGAAGACGAGCCTCCGTCGCCAGGAGCCAAAGGCTGTTTCTTTCAGTTTATGCCAACACGTGTCATTCAGAGTCGTTAAACCTTCGCGACATTTCGCGACATTTCCGGCTTGGTTGAACTGGAGTTGGAAGCAGTAGTGCAGCAACGCAGGCCTTGCTGGAAGAGCTCGAGCAGGTCCTGGGTGCAGAGCACCGTGAGGCGCCACTGTGGTCACGAAGAATATTGAATATCTTGAATCTTTTTGCCCCATGTGTATGTTCAAGTCATTGTGCGAGTCTATAGAAGCGGTGAAGTGAAACTTTCGGACCGGGGCAAGGGCAGATTGCATCACATGACAGTCTCGCAGTGTCAGTTGGGGGCTCATCCCTCAGGCAGCAGAACAGAGGCTACACGAGTTCGAGGACGACCTGCGCATCACTTTCAAGGCTTGCACCTGTCATTCACACCATACCCCTCTGGTTGTATCTTGAGACATCGATTTAGACTCAGAAGAAACAACCAGAAAGAACCCTGAAACAACTGCGCGCCAGAGGCATTGCCCAAGAACGGCCGCGGCGCGGTGGCCGCCCCCTCCGCGCGCTATGCGCTGCACAGGCCTGGAATGGCGCGTTGGCAGCTGCAAGCCTGAGCAAGCCTCTAAAGAACCTCAAGAGTGCACGGCCTTTGCCTTTTGCCTTTATGCTAACGGCTCACGAATTACGACTTCGTGGTAGGACCTTAGGAAGTCTTTTAAGCTTTTTTTGAGATGAAAACAGAGAGAGGCTCTTCAACCAGCGTCATGGCTGGCAGATCAAAGGCCTCGAGACTGCTGCAGGCGAGCCTGGCATGCCTGCTTGGCTGTTAGACCCCTTCGGCCCTTGTTTTTTTGAATCCACCGGGAAGTCGCTCATTCACGCTTTTCGGACTTTTCTGCATGTCGAGGTGCCTGGGATGCGGATTCGCCAGTCACAGCGATGGGCGATCGAGTGCCGCCGAAAATGTGCCTCGCAGAGCACGAGCCGAGGAATGTACTTAAATAATATTTTAAGGGGCTGCGCCCATGGGCGGGCAGCGCACGCAGAAGCCCGGGGCGAGCAGTTTCTAAGCATGTTGAGGCCCCTAAACTCCCTTAAAATCTCTAAGCGTTAAGTTTCTAAGCATTTTCAGGCCCCTAAACTCTCTTCAAATCTCTAAGCGTTTGAGGCTCCGAGACTCCCTTAACGTTTCTAAGCACTTTATAAGGCCCCTAAACTCCCTTTTTCCTAGCCCCGGGCTTAGACACGTCGCTTATGCCCGCCCTTTGGGGGGCATCATGCTCCTGATGCCCCCCCGCGGTCCCGCCCCGGGAGCCGCTGATGCTCCTGATGCGCGCCTGGGGGTCCCGGGCTGGACCCGCTGATGCTCATGATGCGCGCCCTCTGGGGGCCTCCGTGGCGACGCAAAAAACCACGAAAAAAAAACCGTTCACCGGCGGCACGCGGGGGTCGGCGGCACTGGCGTCCGGCCTAATTCTGCTTCGCAGAAGGCCAGAGGCCAGCAAGGCTATTCCCGGGACGACCCGGGCTAAAAGGTCCGCATTTGCTCGGTCCTTTGGGGACCTCGCGCTGCCCGATTTTAAGGGGCTGCGCCCATGGGCGGGCAGCGCACGCAGAAGCCCGGGGCGAGCAGTTTCTAAGCATGTTGAGGCCCCTAAACTCCCTTAAAATCTCTAAGCGTTAAGTTTCTAAGCATTTTCAGGCCCCTAAACTCCCTTCAAATCTCTAAGCGTTTGAGGCTCCGAGACTCCCTTAACGTTTCTAAGCACTTTATAAGGCCCCTAAACTCCCTTTTTCCTAGCCCCGGGCTTAGACACGTCGCTTATGCCCGCCCTTTGGGGGGCATCATGCTCCTGATGCCCCCCCCGCGGTCCCGCCCCGGGAGCCGCTGATGCTCCTGATGCGCGCCTGGGGGTCCCGGGCTGGACCCGCTGATGCTCATGATGCGCGCCCTCTGGGGGCCTCCGTTAAAAGGTCCGCGTTTGCTCGGTCCTTGGGGGACCTCGCGCTGCCCGATTTAATGGCTACCGCCAGTGCCGCCGACCCAGACCAACAAGACAGTGCTCTCTGAGTGCTTGGGGTGGGGGGGGGTGGGGAGGGGGGTGGGGGGGGGGCGGGGGGTGGGGGGGGGGGGGGGGGGGGGGGGGGGTGGGGGGGGGGGGTGGGGGGTGGGGGGGGGGGGAGCGGGCGCCAGTCCATGGGGACGGGCGGGGAAAAATGGAGGGGGTGCGGGGCATGCACTGGAGCCCTGGTTTTGGCTTCAAGGGGGGGAGTAGGTGGGGGGGGCCGGTGGGGGGGTTGGGGGGCTTGGGCGTGTAAGGAGGTGGGTGGGCAAGGCTTGGGCGGGGCTTGGGCGGGTGGGGGGTGGGCGGGGGGAGGTAGGGACGGGGTGGGGGTGGGGGGGCGGGGGCCACAGAGGGGTAGGGGAGGCTGCGCAGGGCGGCACTTGGGGCAGGTGGGGGAGGAGGTGGGGACGGGGTTGGGGTAGGGGGGGGGAAGTTGGGGTTGGTGGGGACGGGGTGGGGGGGGTAGGGGAGGCTGGGCGGGTGGGGGGGTGGGCGGGACTTGGGCGGGTGGGGGAGTAGGTGGGGACGGGGTTGGGGGGGGGTGGGGGAGGCGGGGGTGGAAAGAGGGGGCGCAGGCATGCATTGGAGCCCTTAAAACTCAGGGGGGGCTGGGACTTGGGCGGTGGAGTAAGACTCAGCTTAGGTTCAAGGGCATGGAAGGGGGGGTGGGTGGAGGGGGGGGGGGGCTGGGCCACAGGGATTTAGGGTTTGAGGTTTAGGGTTTGGGTTTAGGGAGGGGGGGCTGGGGGGGGGTTGGCGCATTGGAGCCCTAAGACTCAGCTGAGGTTCAAGGGCATGGAAGGGGGGGGCTGGGCCACAGGGGGGTGGCGGGGTGGGGGGGTGGGGGGTGGGGCAAGCGGAGCAAGAGACGTTTGGAGCCCTTTAAATCATCTGATTAGGGGACCATGATGGGGCCATGAGCCACTAGGGGCCAGCAAACGAAGCGGGCATGCTTTAATGGGGCCAGTCCATGGGGGGGGGTGGGGTAGGGGAGCATTGGGTCTTCACTGACGCCGCCCCCGGCTGGGGTCGGCGGAAATAATCATAGTAATAATATTAATAATGATAATAGCTTGGAAGCACGAGGTTGACACCCGCGGGTTGTCCACAGTATAGCATTCTAGATGCTACCCTGTAGAAAGGAGGACAGAACATGTCACATAACCTACCAGTAGGCTTTCAAGAGCTGACGGAGTTTCGGAATGTTGGTTCGGTTTCGATTGGGACTGCGGTTCAACAATCACTGCGCTGACAAGATGTGTGTTCTGAGCCAATGCGTTTAGAGATGCGTTGAGCCAATGTTGAACCTTAGGCGTGAGCTCTTCGAGGACTTCAGCGGGCTTGTCTCTGCTAGGTCCCAGAAGCAAGCACGCGGAAGAGCAAAGTACATCATTAGTCTGAAGCATGTCTTGCTGATGCGTGCTGCAGAGGATTCTGGAAGACCATTCAATCCTGCACTGAGTTCGGATCGACATAAATGGGAGGCCATGGTCTCCGCAAGTCCTTGGGTGCCAGGATCGCTTGGGATCCTATGGAATGACCCTCCACGAACTCGCGATCCTTGCCGCGACGCCCCTCGGATTCCCTTCATGTTGAAGGCTGCATGTGCCTTGCAAGACTTCAAAGGGGCACCGTCGAAACTAGAGTCGAGAGGCGCAATGAGCAATGTTAGTTCAATGCGAGGATGGATAAGATGTTCGAGACTGACGTTGCCGAGCGACTCCGAATCGTGTACAAGGCCTCGGCACTGAAGACGGAGGCGGAATGGGCTCTGGGCAAAGCATTGCAGGTTACAATCATACAAGCTCCTTAGCAGCTCAGCGGGGGACAGAGGGTCAGTACGGCCGTCGCAACTGAAAGCATACAGAGCACATAGGCAGCAAGCAGCAAAGAAGCTTGGGCGGTCGAAAAAGTGGCCCTTTGAAACATTCCGAAAACTTCAAGCTCTCTCTGCAATTATCTTATAAGGATCGTGCATGAGAGTGGCTGAGCACGCATGTTGCCGACCCCCGTAAGTGCTTGCTGCTTGGAGAGCTGGCTGCACATGCAGGCTCACATCAACTACAATCAGGCAAGTGGGGTACCTGCATGAGCAGAAAGTCGCTGTCTCCGGTGATGTTTGCCTCGGACTTTGCTTGCCTCCGCTTGTGATCCGCCGTGTCCAGGCAAAGAACGTCCTGTGGACTTATGCCGCTGAACAGAATAAACGGGAAATGAGACACGACCATGGTGTGTTGATCAGTTTCTTTTCAAGATGTAGGGGTCGTTTGTTCGCACCTGAGAGAATCCCGAAACTTCCGTGTGAGGGCTGCGCCTTTTGTTGCTTCCGCCAACCAATTTTACAGCCTCCATCCCATGGCAGAAGCTGACAGCAGAATGCACCCACTGAGAATACTTGAAAATTCGACATAAGGTGGCAGCATTCATCACCGGACCGCAGGTGGAGAGCCTCACCGAAGGACCATGTCACCGCCGGGCCGCAGTGCAAGATCGTTTGTATTCGCAAGAACACCAAGAGAGCACAGTAAGCTGGGACTGCAGGAGAGGTGCACAAGGCCCTTGACCATTTCGAGACCAGGCTGGGACGTGGCAGCTATGGGCTCCGGCATAGACCCTAAGCCCTCAACACCGCAAGACATTGCAAGACCACGCCGAGAGCATTCCAAGAGCACTCCAACGGCATCTCAAGCCGAAATTCAATCCAGTTAAGATCATTCCAAGACCGTGTTGAACGGACGCACAAAGCGCCCCCGTCCAAGAACCGAGAGGCATGCAAGTACGCCTCCCGCATCTTTGCGGTTCGGAGCGATGCAACCCTCAGAAAGTGCACGGGACCGATGCAGCAATGCAAGTCCATGCACGGAAGGCGCACATCACCTAGACCTAGACGAGAGCAGGGTTTGGCGCCCTGCCGCAGTGGCGAACCTGTGTTGTTTGTGTTGTGTTGGATGCCATCACGGTCACGGGGAAGCACCGAGAGGGTCGTGGTTGGCCTTTTGCTGAGCCCACTCGGCGCCTTGCTCAGAGTCGCTTAGAGAGTCGAAGCCTACTGGAAACATCGAGTGGGTCGTGAATGTTGATGCCTCGATACGTCTCGTGTGTGAGATGCACTCTCCCGCAGATCAACGTCTTATTTTCCTGGACTTGCTTTCAACACTGACAACCCAAAGTGCAAACACAGTGGATGCATTGTTCAGGGAATCAGAAAACCAGAGTGCTTGACGGTCGTGCCATGAGCCATTTCATTTTGCAGTACCCGCACATGCATCCCAAATGCAAAGCAACACACGGCATTATTTTCATGGTGTCGGCAACCCACCCATCGCATTAACATGGTGCGCAACTGCAAGCCGCTGTAGCTGCAGGTTTCCACGCCACGCAGAAGCCAGGGATCTGCTGGCTGCAATTGCTGACGAGGCAGGCTTCAAGGGGGTTACCCTGACTGAGTCGTCAACAAATCTTGTAGTGCCTTGCAGTCCGCCTGTCCGGCCGAACAATGAAATGATTCCTTAGCAAGCAGGGTCTACCAGGCAACAGCATGAGTACAAAGCCTAGCTGTTGCTTGTTGCTTGCTGCGCCGCGCCCTCGTGAATACAAAAGCATGCCCGCCGATCTCTTGCAGCAACTGCTGTTTCTTTGACAAGGTTGGCGGGCGTCGTTCGAACTCCTATGTGCTCTGGCTTCAGTAGAACTTGCACTGTGATTTATAGGTGGTTTTGAGTGCGTGCAGCAGACTTCCGCCAGAGGACTTTGCAACGCTGCAGACGATCCTGTCCAAGTTTGGCCAGCGGCTTGGCGCTCTGGAGGACACCGAATGCAAGGCCAGCCAACCACTGCCATTTGCATCGCCGGGCGTTACGGAGATGCCGTTCGCAAATGTGGGAGAGTTTGGGGCATCGTATGTGTTGTATGACTCTGTATGACAGCGTTGCGAAGCTATGTTGAGTCGTGTCAAGAGGAGACGACATGCTAGTGACGTGTCGTCGGTTCGAAGGCACACGTTGAGCCATGCGCTGTTCGTCCCTCGCCGCCCTCAACTCGCTTTTGGCACGTAAGTCTCAATATAGAATTCTATAACGTCAGGTCATGAAGAACAGGTTGACCTCATTGGAGCATCGTGAGGGCAGTGGCCTTGTTCGCTTCCTGGTGGCACCTTAGTACAGACCGCAGACACGTAATATGTCGACCAAGTATTGTCAAGTATTGTTGTAGTCAATCCGTTGCTTCAGCGTTGTTGATTGCCGAGTTTTCTGTGCGTCTCGCGACTCACAGCACATCGTTCTTCAGCTCACCATAAGGCCTTGGTGATTTCTACGGCAATGACAAGGTGCGACATAGTAGTAATCGAGCATCTGACCACTACCTGACTGGTGTCCCGGGTCCATAAAGGGCCGCCAGGCCCATCATTGTTTTGATTCTGTATACGTACGTGTGATGCTTCCACGTCGCTGATTTCGACGCACGGCAGTTTGATTTCCACTTCACGGAGAGCCCGGTCTACCTGCGCGGCGCGGGCCTTCTCGACGAGTCAAACCCCAACGACCCGAAGGCATCTCAGACATTGAATGTGTCAGAAGGCTTGTTTTGCGGGTTGCGACACGCCTGAAAATTATAACACGGCCGCGACCACGTCTCCAACACTTGTGGCACGCAGGTCATCATCCCCAACTACCTTGCTGGTCCATCGAACTGCGTCCAGCCTTCAGGCACCGCGACCCTGACCTGAAGAATCGTCCGGCATTGCGCAAACGACTTGAGAAGGATTGCTCCGGTTGCGGGTCTAGCTTCTTTGCTGAACAGGCTACTACAGCATCTGCTCCTCGGCTGACAATGTGACGTTCCTATGGTGGGCTTTGAAAGCCCAGTCTGCAATTTGAGGTTCGAGTCGGGCACCTCTAGTCGTGAGTCGAAAGGTAGCTGTTTGGAGTACCACGGACGTTGCTCGCTGGCCTTTTCGCTTCCATGACGAAGCAGCGTCTTGCAACTCGTAAGGCTGCTTTGACGAGTGCGAGCAGTTGATGGACAAGGCTGTGGCTGTGTGTTGGGCGTCGGATGAAAGGACACACTAGATAGAGAAGGACACTGCTACTTTGTGCTACAACTTCCGTCTACATGCTGTGCGAAGACCCTCAGCCCTCAGTGGTACAGTGCTGCAAGTTGCATCCAAGTGGGGTTTGCGTGGCAGTGTCAGGTTGAGGAAGGGCTTGAAGCGCCCATGGGCATCTTGGCTAGCGAAGTTCTACAGCGTCTTTGTCATTCCGTTGTGCCACGACTACGCAGGCACGCCGGAGAAGATTATGGACCTGGCCAGATGCTCAGCAAGCGCACGGTTGTGTCTGTTATCGCGATGCTGAATATTATGTTTGGGCCAGCAGTCTGCACTCCTAAGTAATGCATGTAAGCCCCGTAGTGTTGAACAACGCCTGGCCCGATCATCATGACAAAGGTGTCTGGATTGCCCTCGTCTTCGTTGCCGGCTAATCGAACGCTGCAAGCCAGCATTCATGCCTCATGTTCAAGTTGCAACTGAGTCAGATGTGCGTCGGCTCTTGCGTTGTTCTGCAGGCTTTCGCCGCACCTGAAGACGCTGTTGGATGAAGTGGCGGGCCACCACGGTGGTATGGCGCCATTGCCAGCATTGAGAAAGAGAGAAGGTCGTGGGAGGTCAAGCAATCACCGTGGCCAATGGGATTTTGACGAAGAGGGGGCTTGACATAGTGAATCTGCTTCTGAGAGCGTGCTGCGCATGTCTGGAGACTTGCAATCCGCAAGCATTTCAGGGATTGGGCCTGTTCTTTTTCGCAGGTGCCGATTCACGGCCGCCTTTTCGCGCAGTGGATGCATGAGGCTTATCCACGCGAGCGGTCGACTCAGGAGATGCTCGGAAGTTTGCTCCAGTTTTCCATACTTCTCTGGGAGTCCTTGAAGTAAATGAGGTGTAGCTACCCCCACCTGGAGGTCAAGGTCCAGAGTCGTGGCTCCAAATGCAAGCAGTTCCGGCAGTTTGGGGAGGACACTATGTGCGGATTGATCTGAATCATTGGCCCCTTTTTGGCAGCTTAAGCCTTAAGCCAGAGCGAATATACCACATACAATGGAGACCCAGAAGAGACACTGAAAGACAGAACCAGAAAGGAAATGAACATGTTGAGCAGCGCACACGGACGAGTTTGGAAAGCAACCCCTAACGACATCAGAAAACATTGGGGACCGACGCTTGTTGCCAGGGAACCAACTCTTGTTTTTTTTTTTGTGGGGGGGGCGGGGACTGCGAAGGGAGCAGGGAAGGAACGGCCACTGTACATTACGGATTTTCTGCTCTTCACAGCATTTCGGCTCACCGGCTCCAAATACACAAAGTTTCAGCATCTCTGAATGCTCGAAGGCGACAAGAAGAAAGAACGACTTCGTGAAAGAGAAATACTGTGACAACAGAATAAGTCAGAAAGCAAAGAACGGGATAGCAGGACAGAAATAGCCACAGAAAGGCCGACCTCATAGCTCAGACAGAACGAATAGCTGGACATCAATACATGAATGAATACATACATAAAGACAATCGCAGATAAGCCATTCTTGAAGAGCACAGCAACGAAGTATCGAGTTAATAGTACCACAAGACGAACAAATCAACACGCATAAGTTACGCAAGTAGTCAGACAAAAGCAGTGGTAAGCTGACCGAAGAACGAGCGAAAGCAGCGCATGAGTTCATAGCGAATGAGAGAAGCCAAAATTGACAACGAAACGTTTTTGAATTACTAAACAAATCAAAGGGCAGCAAAAGCAACAAGTACACAGCAAAATTGTACACAGATCTACACCAGAAGCTACATTGGACATGAGTCTGCATATTAAATATATAAGGCATGAAGGGTGATATGGATACATGCACAAGGCACGAAGGAAATTAATGCTTCAACGAATAACTTACGCTACCGATATGTAAAGCAAACAACGAAACGATGAAAGCATATGCAACACAAACAGTGAAACAAGCACAGCAATTGACGCCAAAAAACAACCTCCACTCTTAGTGCTAGCTGGTGCTGTTGGTGTTGGGTTTGCCTTGGCTGCTGCCGCACTGCTCGCTTTTGGTTGCTTTCGGGTTGTCAGCGACAGTGCACTGGTTTTCTGACTTGCTTTCTTGATTTTGTTTTATGATGTCGTTGTTTTGTGATCTCGGTCTTTCTGGTTTTCTGAGTTTACTTGTTTCGTGATACTTTGGCGTATTTTCTGATGTCCCCCACTGTTGTGTTTGAGTTGCTTCCTTAACCCCTTCGCCCGAATTCAGAAAAGGGTACGTGTTAGTCACAAACTAGTGATTCAGATCAGCCTGCGAGGTAGCTATTAGCGCATAGTGCTGTGATTGCTCGTCATGGCAAGGGCAGCACATTCTGCAAGTAAAGTCTCATCATACTATGCAGACTAGCCCGTGCTGAAGAAGCGATGCGCGGAGAGCAAGGCTTCGATCACTCGACAGAAATGGATCATGTGGAGGCTGGCCTCTTGCTTCTGGAGTTGCAGGATTTAGAGCCATGTTGCATGGAAAGCTGTCTGCAGAAGTAAGCGTAGGGTGCCATGTCTCTGATAGTTGCTTTTTAACCCAGACAGAGACATCCTCGCTGATGGGCTGATTGGGTCAATGCGCGCGAGTGGACATCCTGGGTACATGTGTAAGCTACGCCTGCTGTCAAGGCCGCAGAGAAGTCCAAGTATTGGCCCCTCGTGTTGCACTCCAGACACCGCAGCCTGGACTAGTGCTCGACCCGGTGCCAGTAGACGTGCAGACAGCCTCAGGCAAATTGCCAAGCAGCTTGAGGGCAGTGGCGAGAACCAAACCACCTCTCGATGGATCATGAAGGAGGCCCGCTTTCAATCGTAGGTCTCCACAACGAAAATATTCAGCGCAGTAAAAGCCCCAGACAGCAAAAGCAAGGGGACGATTTTGAAGCTTAGCTTTATTCCCTAGCAGTTTTTTCTGGGTTTTCGCACACGAATCCATATGCCGATAGCGAAAAGCACAAGGTTTTTGCATGTCCACGCATGCCAAGCATCGGCAAACAAAACGAAGTTTGTGACTTCAGCCTTTCAGTCTTCATGTTCAGTGAGGGTTCGAGCGTGAGAGATGGGATGCATAGGTTGCGCTAGCTCGCATCCGCTGCAGGAGTTGGTGGACCGGCAGGGCTTTGAGGCTCATGTGAAGTCGCTGCTTGGCAACAAATACGTGCGTTGAGGGCGTTCAAATTCTATCCGACAGACTGAAGCTTTTGAGCATCAGAACACAGCTCGGTTAAAACTTCCGAGAATGCCTAAAGTCTAGAGTCTAGAGCGGCCAGCGATTGTGTCCTGAGGAGCACGCGAGACGACTTGACCATTTTCGGAGCCTTGGGTCTTGCGCCTACTTGTTGGATCTTCTTGCTGAGTGCTGCAAATGCCAAATGCCCCTGTGGCGGTTGCTGTTCACAGCTGCGGAAGAGTAAGAAACCAACATGCTTGAGCAGCTTGCTAAGAATGTCACTGTTAGTCTCATCTGCCCGAAGACCGGAGAGTCTTCCACCCAGGCTTCGTTGGCATGGCAGTCGTTCGGCACATCGCCCCTGCATTGAGGCCAAAACTGTTCATGTGTCACTTAACGCGTAGAGGCGTTGCGAAGGGTTTGCATCAAGCCTGAAAATCCCATCAGTTCATGAGAGCTCCCTCATTATGAATTAGGTACAAACAAAACCTTGTTTAGAGAGCATGCAAAAAGTCAGAAACATTCAGTGGTACGGCGTCCGTGTGAGAATGTCATGTCGTTTGTTGTGTGCAAGGCCTTCTTAATTAGTAGACGCGAGCTAACTGGCCCGCCAATGCAGCAGATTCATAGTAGCATTGTGCCTTTAACGAGAATCTTTCCAGAGCAGATCTTGAAAATTTGAAAAGAACCCCCCCCGTACAGAACCTGCCATGTGCCGTTCTCTCGGTCAGGCATGACAAGCAGAAGGAACTCTGAGGAAGTGCCCGGTACCAGTACAAAAAACATCGTGTGCGGAATGAGGTGCTGTTTCACACACTGCATGTCCATGTCAGAGGCACTAGTGCGCAGAGAATGGACAGCAGCGGCTTCAGCCCGGCAAGCGATGGTGCTTGCACCGGTCTCACTGAAGTCATTTGGTGCAGGCTTGCAGATGCAAAAAAGGCTCATAGAATCATCCACTTTATGGTTGGCTCCGGGGCAGCCACAATCGAAGATTTTCACAGCCTGAAATCTTCCTTGACGCTACTTTGTGCAATGCCAAGCACAAAACGCATGATCGCTTTTCGAGGCCTCCGGCGGCGGTGGACTCGCAGACCCGAATGTGCATCTCTCGACCATCATCGGTACAGGTGTTTGTATTGAAGCTGGATGAGACTGTCTCAACTGGTGGATCGCAACATGTTCAGACAACTTGCAGCACTGCGTTGTGATGAAGTAGCTGCAAGCTGAGCAGATGTCTTTCTTCTCTACCAGCTGCAAGGTGCTTGCTGGACTGGGCAAATCGAACGAAGACGCATGTGTTTACAAGGCTGGACTGCATCTTGCGCGTGCATCTCGTACCGCCTTTGCCAGTCGATAGCATCGGTCGAGGAGACAGCGTCAGTCGTAGTGGAATGCCATAGTCAAACAGGAGGAATCGGGGGCCGTGCAAGGTCAGCGATGACATCGCCATCGTCGGAACCTTGGACTTCTTCACGCCCATCGTCGACGAACCCGAGGCTCCAATTTTCCCAAGCTCTCAAGGTTGGCCTGCCTCTCACAGAGCATGGCAACTCCTGCATGAGACAGAATTTGCGGCAACAAACGAAGAATTCTGCTGCATCTTCACACAAACGGACTTTGCACTGAAGACATTTCCGCATGTTGCCGCAGTTTTTTCGTACACTGCACATTCAATTGATTCGAGGCGAAGGTTCCCAAACCGCGGCAAAGAGTGTTGCAACATGTTGCAACACGGTTCACCACATGACAGGTCAAAGATCAAAGCGATTGGCAGCTTTATGGTAAGATATGGTCCTGTTGTAATTCGATAATGTGCAACGGCGCAGTGATACACAGTGTCGCGAGAGAGCGACCGACAGACGGACAGACAGCGGGGAGATGAAGGGCGAGGGGGAGAGCGAAGGCTTGCAGAGAGACAACAAAAGCGTCTTGCTGTGAGGTGTTTGGTGGCATTGCTGCTGCCAATGCCCTGTCTGATGTGTGCCCTCGCTGCAGTGTATTGCTAGATGCCGCTGCGTTTCGACAGTAGTTGGAAAGCACCTGCGCAGCCTGCGCAGAGGTATGCCATGGGCGCAAGGCCAATCTTCGCTTTGAATATTGCGCCGAGCTTGGACTCCCTTGCGGCAAAATTGCGCCGGATGTCAAAGACTTGTCTAGTACGAAACACCTTGGCATTATGAAGACGCTTGAGTAGATGCCACAGGTTCCTTGTCTGCATGATATCCTTTCGATCCTTGCCAGTTCACCTCAAAATGAAATCATTTCTCGCAGGCCCAGCTTGCTGCCAACATGTGCGCACTCTTGTGCCTGCGTGACATTCTGGTGCTGCTCGAGGTCGGCTTTCCGTCAAACCGGCTTCCTCCATCTGTTTTGGCAAGGCCGATGGGCTGTGAAGGTGATGCATCATGGGATGATCGGGGTGTGCATCTGCTGTTGGGCGGTCCCTACCTACAAGCCAGCGTGTGAACCATGCCGCGAATAGCCACAGCCGAAGTATCACAATCACTTTGCAAGTGTGAGTGCACCCAAATCCATCCCAAAAGAGCACGTGGTGGGTGCCAATGCCACAAGGGAGCAGCTGAGCCACCTAGCGGAAGCAAATGTCCACCATGCATCCGTAGACAAACATCTAGGAGCAGGGGATCGAAAGCGAAGGAGTTGTAGAGAACAACGAAGAAGAAGACAGTCTTCAAACTTGTCAGTTTTGTCTAGGCCGTTGTTCCCTTCGTCGCTGGTGCACAGTCATGGCAGCGTAGTGTTTCACGAACGTTGTGTTGCCTTAAAAGTATTGTGGTGAGTTGTTGAAGTGTTGGAGCTGTCGGTATCGTGCACAGATTTGGCTTGCGTTTGTTCGAGTATGCGTGTTCGTGTGTCAGTGCCCACGTCGGTCTGCGCATGTTCAGGTGCAGAGAGAGTCTGTTTTGCTTATGCAAGTTGCCAAGATGTTGCGTATTCCATCAGAGGGTCGCTTTGTCCATGCCTGGACTCATCTGACAGGATCTTGAAAGGAGGCCGGGCGGCTCAGCGATCGCTCAGCTTCCACAAGGTGATGCAAGGTTTGTGCGAGGTCGGGCCAAGGTCATCGTGGGTCGCAGGGGCGAAAATCATAGACATTTCGGTAAACAGATGCACTGTCGGCGATGAGGACGCGACGTGATTGGAAGTGTTTGTGTGTTCAAACAAGCAAGTGGTGCCTGGCCTCTTTGTTTTGGTATGTGTGTAGTATTCTGTGGGTTGCTGATTTTGACAACCGCGTCGAAGTGACTGTGAATTGAGGTGTCCTTATGTGGGTCCGCTCCCCCCTTCCCCCCCATGCCGCTTTGCGGGTACCACAAGGTCCCCTCGTGGGTGTGGTCTCTGCCTGAACCCCGTTAAATGCGTATGCGACAGATGTGCGATGTGGCACTTTCCCTCCTAGGGAGAGTGTCACGGATGTGAGGCTTTGCTTTAGCATTCGGGCGCGCATGTCCGTTTTCGGCGGGCTCCAGTTGATGTAAGAAACAATCCCATGGGCCCCATGACTTTGCGTCTGCAAAGCCAAACTGCTTCGCGCCATTGTGAAAGTCTTGTGTGGGTAGTAGGCGATGCGACAATGCCTCAAACGATCTAAACAAAGACATCCTTAGCACTTAGCAGTCCATAGCACCGCAGACGGGCAGCGAATTTGCGAAGCACCCGGTCGCCAAGCATGTGATTACTGTTGCACCTGTTTTAGTGTGCCCGCCCCCCCCCCCCCCCCCCAGGACAGTCGAAGCCCGTTTTCGCCGTGTTTATGCGGCCCAGGTGTATTGTATGATCTTAACAATGAGGAGTTTTAAAAAGTTGTAACAAAGGTACAGCGATACCCGGCATTGGATTTGAAAGGCCTCCGACGCCCGGACGATTTGACTCAAATGTAGACCCCGCTTTGCAGCAGTTTGGGTGTCCTGAATAGCGCCGCCAACTTAACTTTAAACAGGAACCCCCACCCCCCCACTAAAACACGTCCAACATCAGACATGTTTCAGCAGCACTGTAGATGTGACTTGCAGGTCAAGAGAAATGTGCGGAGGCCGGCGTGGCCATACTGGGCACAAAGCTCAGAGAGGGCCTCGGAAGACGCAGCAACCGACGTGCCGGCCTCCTAAGGCGGCCACACCGTTGAGGACCTGGAGCCTAAGTATGGGCTGGCTGTGATTGGCCCCTCGGAACCCAGCGGAGCATTGAAGAGCATTGAGATGCATTTGTGTCCTCCTACCTGCGAGCTAGCTTGAGCTGAAACTGCACCTTCAGCCGCAAAAAACTCTCTGTGTAGAGGGAAACGCAGGATCGGCTCTGTCAGGCGGCCCACCTTCGTAGTTTCTGTTCTTGCTGCATTCCGACTGTGGAGCCCCAGCAACAGAAGAGTCTTGCTTAAGGTGTGGTGCATCCGGACAAGGCCTCAGGGTCTTCCTGTGATACAAGTACAAGATAAAGAACAAAATCAACCCGTATTGCAACTCACTCAAAATCAGTGTGAAGCGATTGCGCACCATCGCAAACGCAGGGCGCAAAGCAAAACCCAAGCAAACTTGACCCAAAACTGTTGCAGACTGTTGTACAAGTGAGCACGGTTGCTGTCGTGAGCCATCGCAATCTCTTCGTGCTTGTCCAAGAATGTAAGCTGCTGGTATGCCGTGCATCCCAATCGACAGAAAATGCGAGCAACTTCCTGTGGCAGGTGTGGCGGAATAATGCACTTCAAGCCGGAGACAGTCTAATCCTCACGAAGCCGTCAGGCTCCGAGGTTCACAAGACCAGGGTGTGCTCGATGTTTCCGTGTTTCCCCGAGGCTGAACTTTAGGTAGTCCCGGGTGCATGTGTTGCTGCCTGGCAGGTGATTGCAGTATATTGCAGTGTTGCATGTGCAACTTAGGATTGGCACCGGCATTCTTGGGACGGCACAGAAAAAAGGTCACGCTCTCACAGATCTTGCAGGTCAGTGCAGTTGCGCTTGGTGTGTTGATTGGAGCTTTTCCTGACTTATCAACTTCCACCTTGCCAGCAAACAGTGGAGTTGTTTTGCTGATGGCGTTCGGAAAGAGGATGGAATGCAATTTGTCAAGTATTGTTTTGTGGGAGTTTGTGCTGGTGGTGGTGGTATGTGGTGGTGTGCGTGCATGTGCGTGCGCGTGTGCGTGCGTCGGTGTGTTTGTGTGTGTGTGTATCTGAGTGCGAACCACCTGGTCGTACTGTTGGAGTTTTTCGTTGCTGATTTTGGTTCAACAAGAGTTTTTATGCGTTGAAAGCGCACACGCACGTCACCCTTGTTTTGAGCTCTGCAGGGAGTGACGAGCTTATTTGCCTGTCCAATTGTGCCTCTGCGGAACCGGACAATGTAAAATTTATGGCACCGGAAATGTGGGGGTTTACGAAAATAGGGGGGGCGCCTTTTTGGGGTCCTGTTTATAAAGGGATCCTATTATTTGTCTATCTTAGGGGTCCCTTATTTTCGTAAACCCCCATGTACCCAACTTTTTTCAACGTGTTGCCCACGACTGAATGTTACTCGTCCGGACCCGAGGTCTATTGAACGACGACGCGCGAGGATGTCTTCAGAAGACCTTGCAGCAATCCTACTTGCTCACGCGACCACATTTAGACTCCTGGCATCTATAGTTGCTAAAAATGACCATGGTCAGCAAGATTCAGCAAGATAGTCATGCCTTTCTGTTTCCCTCAATTTTCGGCCTCAAGCCATTTCACGCCGATTGCATGCCGCGGCATAGTCTGAACGTTGACATAGCCCAATGCTTGATTGGAATCCGCAGAGACTGCGTGTTGCGGCCAGGGTTCTTTCTTCTGCTGCAGGGGCAACTTGCAGCAGGGCCATCTGCAGTCGTCTTTCGCAGCTACAACCCGAGGCTGCAGCTGAACAAGTGTGCAGCAGAAGTTGCACAAGGAGCGACAAAGGCACCCGAGCGGCATGAACTTCACCCAAACCTACATGCAATTGCAAGGTGCTTACTGACTTCACTTACATTTATGCTGCTAGAGCAGGTCCATGCAGCAACGGATGTCACCGGGTTTGGCTTGCCCATGGCTCAGTCGACCCTGAGTGAGCTTGGACGAACCTGCAAAACCCAGTCGACCATTGTGAGGGCCAAAGGGTGTAGGTTTCAGCCTCGATAGATGAAAGATGGTTGAGGTATCTTGGCGCACGCGACAGGTTTCATAGTTTTTGTCTCAGCTTTATGACCCGTGATCGCTCCTTTCCGGTCCTTTTTTGAGGCTTGGCCACCTACGTGAGATGTTGACTGCTGACGACGCGGACAGCGAGCCCCCTTCCAAGAAGGCCTGGGCGGCACTGGGTGGCCCACGCGCGCGCCGAAGAAGCATGTCATTGGCATCCCTTTGCCTGGAAGGCTCGACTGACAACCGGAGGCAGTTGCAATCTTAGAGAGAGGTACATGTCGTGGGCTCTGTCCGCAAGCGCCGGTTAAGTTACGCCTGACGGTGCGTCATGCTGCTGTGGTATCAGTCGACACCCATGCGGCTGAGATCCTTTTTCCCATTTATTCAGCACCTCCCTAATATAAGAAATCACGGGCCCGACTCCCCTCCCGAGGTCACGGGGCCTTCAAGACCACGATATATTAATATATATATATATATATATATATATATATATATATATATTAGGCGGGTGGGCTGGAGCACATTCCACGCCGTACAATCTAAGCCCATGACCCTCCACAATAATCTAGTGATTGGGGGATGGGGGAGGGTTTGAAAAATGGCCGGAAGGGAGCCCAATAAATCGATCCGAGGTGGAAGGCTTGGAGCCGTTTTGTCGGCGGAAGCTGGATTCTCAGTTCCTAGATTTCCTGTTTAGCGCAGTTGCCTTGGAAGCTGACAGCCCCCCCCCCCCTCCTTTGAAGGCAACTTGGCAACTTTCCGAATACTTGCCTGGCGCATCCGCAGAATGCCCCTGAGATCCGAGGCTGTGCCACTGCTGCCGCAGGCCTCTGCCGTCATAGTGCTCAGTAGCGCTCTCTCGTACACATTCGAATGCAATTCGATGGGGCATTTGGCTTCTTTTATCGTTTCTTTTGCGAGCGGCCCGTAGGCCAAGGAGCTAGCAGTGGACGAGCAGTGCGCTGACGACTTGGACCCCAATGGGTGTCACACGTGGTGAACATGGAAATACTGTGGCAATGGCGTTGCGGGGGATGTCTACAGGTCCCGGGCGGCTCCGTGAACAACTTGAAGATGGCGGAGACCGGCGGACTGACTCGCTTCGCGCAGGCGCCGAGATTCATCCACAAACCATTTTCCCCCCGTGAAAACTGTTTCAGAGCCTCTCGGGCGCGAGAGGGCGTGTCCAAGCAGATGCGGCTGCTCTTGGCAGATGTGCCGGGCTCAGTTGCGAGCACCCAGACTCCAGACTCCTTTGGCCCCTTACACTTTCTGCATCTCCTGAACCGGGCACAAATGCAGAGAGACAAACATGATCCGTATTGCAGGGCCATTGCCAATGATTTCTGCAGATGCCGGAACAACCAATTCTGCATCTCCTACAAACACATCTGCGCAGGTGCTTGGGGTAGGCAGGCTCTAGAATTCGGTTTTGCCGACGGTGGCTACGGTCTCTGCTGAGGAGAGGGCTCGACGGGTGAGGCATCAAAACAAATTGGCTGGACGGCGTGGGAATCTGCGGAAGGCTCGCGAAAGCGGCGCGCAAGCGGTGGGAAAGGGAACCTGTGTTTGCAAGCCATGGGCCCCTGTGTAGCTGTAGTCATGTCCTTGTGTAGCCCGTGCACGGAACGCTTGCCAGCAAGCAGGGGTCCTGTAGTCCAGAACTAAATGGTTTTCGTCAGGTGATTGGCGCGCGCAGAAATGCGGAATAATTAAAACGCTACGCGACACGCCTCGGCCTGGCCCAATGCAGCTCCCGGAGAGGGGCCGCCGTTGGGGGTGGGGGGAGAGGTGAGGGGGGGGAGGCAGCCTGCGCGTCTGCTCCCAGGGGAAACCCTCAACTTTGACCCATGCCCACAACACCACGCCCCGACGCAGAAGGGAAGGGCAGGGGCCTGCGCACCGGCGGGCCAGAGAAAGCTGAACTTAGCATCATTCGGCTCGAGAGGGGGGGCTGGGGTGGGGCCTGTTTTTTGGAGGGCGCTAAAAAATTATTCGCCGGTTGGCCCGTTGGGGGGGGTGGAAATGGTGTCCGGCCTGGGGGCTGGGACCGGAAAAGCCCAGCGCCGGGCAGGAGCCCACCTTTGCCTGGCCCCGGCAGTTCAAAGGAAAACTTGAAATCACAAGCAAGATCTGTTTTTGCTTCGACGGCGAAAGGGCGCGAAAGAGCGCTCGAAGGCGTTGCGGTGAGGTGTTTCCAGGCACAAGAGAATCGAACAACCTGCCTCACGGTGATCCCAATCACTTCATCCAGGCTCAGACATCAGGCGGTCTGCTTCTAGTTCTTGGCTCAGCACGAAGCAAAAGTTGGTTCTTTGCCTTGTTATTTCTTGACATCCAGCTCGGTCGAGCATGTTCTCACGTAGCTGGCTTTATGCACAACATTCAGCCCATCCCGCCCTAGGCAGTACCCAAGGACGACGCTGAAAAGGTTGTGGCCCGGTGCCCAGGTACAGCACGGCAATGCACGGCAAGAATGTAGTGCGTCCACGCAAAGCATTCCTGGAGTGCTCGGCAGTTTCTCTCGTAGCTCGCATCTTCTCTGAGGGCGCCCTCCGCCAGGCCGTTGCCTCAAGACCTTCACAGGAGCGCCCTACAACACCTCGTGGTAAGCGCTTACCTGGGATAAACGAAGCAGCTAGCCGCGTAAGGGTCTCTGGAGCACCCACTGCTAATCTGGAATTCCTGACAAGGCGGTTTAGGATGTCATGCTTGTAAGTGGAGATTGCATCTCTGTGGGCGATACATATTCCGATACATGAACCACGGGCGAGGCGGCAAGTCCTGTGTAGATGCCCAGGCAGGTCTGTCCAGCACAATGGCCATCGGCGAGGCCTGGGACCAAGAGCTGGGAAAGCTTTGGAGTCTCCGATCCTCAGCTCTTTCTCTTGTGGAGGTCCGGCATCTGGCTGATGGTGACCCACTTATCATGGCATGCTTCCCAGGAGTGCATCATGGCTTCACTAGAACGTTTCCTGCAACGAATGAGTTTCCTTTTAGAGTGGATCCTCAAGACTTGACGCAGTGACGATTGCGCAGCAAATCGTAGATTGATCTGTCTTGCCCAGCTCATGTTTGCTCCATCACATGTGTGAGGTGGAGAGATGATGAGCGCGTGCATGCAGAATTTCGTTGGGGCCAACAAGCGTCCAGAAAAAGACGGTTGCTGTTGCTGGGCCACCCCTGCCTACCCAACCAGGTGAGCCTCCAGTTATCCACATGCTACCAGCACAGGCCTATATACTATATACTGAGGGAATGCATGTGAACTGCAAGTATCATCAACTGAGCCCTCCTTTCCCGATGGGCAGAAGCTCACAGACTTGTGCCGATCGGATGATCACGCAGCTTCTTTAGAAGTCAGAACGGGCATCATGCATGCCCACATGATGCTTGGCCCAGTTGTCGCAATCGCATTCAGCACCTTGAACACGGGCCACACGAGATTGATTGACCAGATCACATGGCAACCATGAGGACACCGATATAAACAAGTGCTTTTCTTCCCATGTGCCCACCTGTCAATGAGACTCAATCATGTTTCGCTTAGTGATCGGCCTGGTGTGTCATGCATTGGCCGCTCGCTTGCAGATGTCATGCTCATGTGTGCCAGTGGTAAATTCTGCTCCTATGAGACCCCTTTTTTAATCGCTTAGCAATGCGGCTGGTCGTAAATCGCAAACAAGCATTGGCATTGTCTGAGGCTGGGCCTGTGATCTTGGAGTCGGTGCCTCATGTATGTCGCGCAGACAACTTGAGACAAGTGACACTGCTGAGCATACTTCGCATAGCAGTTATAGCATAGCTAGTGGAGTTCCTCTTTCTCCAAGTTGCTCCTTCCATTTTTTCTTACGCAGGCCCGAGTTCGAGCTGGTTTCCTTTACGCCAAAGGCTGGAAGATTGTTCCATGCTGACCACCACTGACACTTCACCAGCACGTGCTTTAATGTCAACTTGCTTTGACAGGGTCTGTCTCACAGCAGAGAAGTACTCTCGCTCCCAAGCAGTTTTGCCGTGGGGTTTCCTGATTCTGGCAGAGAATGTTTTTCGGAGACTTGCCTCCCCTTGTCTCCTTTCGGGCTGGGTAGGGCCGGGTAGGGGTTAGTTTGAAAATGCTGCGGTTTGGAAATCTTGTCTTCCCTTGTTTGCCCTTTGTTTTTCCTTCAGGTCTACAGGTCGAACCACACAAGCAAATCATCTGGAACAAGCTAAGACCCAAGCAGTTGAAGTGAGTTGTGAATAGTCTCACATTCCCCACTCACTCCGACCCACATGAAGAGTGACAGTGTGTGACAAAGGTTAACAAGCCCAATCCACATTGAGACGAGAGCCAGGGGAGACAAGCCTCGGGAAACCACCCAGTGGGACAACGGGAAATGCCCTGTTGCCAGGACGGAACAGTCTTGGCTGGACGGCAGGCCAGGGCAGCAATGCAAAAGTGCTACTGGCAGACCTGTTGACTGGCCGCGGAGTCATCACGATCTCTACCTTTATTTGCACAGCTTGAATCAATTTGAGTCATTGGCAAGCCCCATGAAAGCCCTGTCCTTGACCCGTCAGGTAGGCTCATGCATTCGTGCTTTGCACAGGCGCTGACCGCTGTCTTCAGCCTCGCTGCCGGCAACTTGAGCTCATGTTCCCGCATTGGCTCCCGACTCCGGGGCCGTAGCCTGTCAAGTGCATCAGCTGAATCAATATGGTACATTATTCGGACACTAATTATATACTGGTCTTGGTGAAGTCTGCAAATCTGTAAACGTTTTTGAAGGAGATAAATATGACATGCCAGTCATTGCGACCACTCTGATCACACATCACTTCTCATGCTGTAGGCAAGATTTAATGCATCAGCACAAGGTAGGTTCTTGTGGAGCAGAAATCTTATTTCAGCTTAGCATGAACGTTGCCTTCCCTATGTTCATTAGTTTTTGGTGCTACGTATCACGTTTGACGATGCGGAACCCCTGCCGCCCGGAAGCCCCTATCCAAGGGTGCAAACAGCCAAAAACCTCCACATTTCAGAACCTCAATGCCACCGGAAGGTTTCGAAAATTCGCAGGCTGAGGCCTTGACCCCTTACTGTACCACGGGCCACCAAATCATCCAAAACAAAATGACCGGAGATCTTCAGAGGATTCAGACCCCTCTGTAGGGGGTCGTAGGAACTCCATACAGTTGCAAGTTTGCCAGCAGATCGATAGGCGACAGTGCGCACCAAAGGAGTTCCATTGGTCCATGGCCAGAAAGTCTACAGGTGATATTGGATTCTACAATGTAGAAAGGTTAGAGGTCTTACAGGAAAGACAGGGTCCGCAGAGGTCCAAAAAGGCCGAAGAGGATGAGGTCCACATCATGAAAGGTCCGAGTCCAGAGCCTACAAGGGTTCAGACAGGGCGTCCATACAGGCCCGACATGAGCTCCATCAAAGGTCCGCGGCAGGAGGCGAGAGGAACATGGGCCTGATGTCCCGACCCCTACAGGATTCAACGAGGGGGGGACACTTCATCCACCAGCAGCGGGACTTGTTCTTTTGCGCCAAAATGCCTTGGCGGATTTGGCATCGGCGGATTTGGCATAACAGGGGCTCGTCTAAGTGCACTTCTCTATCTGCAGGGCACGACTCTCGCACTTTCGGCTCAAAAGACGCTTTGGTACGTTCCTCCTATCTGAACTCCCTACAAATTGCTGAAATTATGGGGCGCACATTTTTTGTGCTCTTCTTTGCCTTCCGCACGCTGGCGTTGGGGAAGCCGAGTTGCAACGTTCGCGATGAGAAGTGCTTTCAAGGCTCTCTTTTCCTCCAGCGAGAAACGCTTTCCAAGATTTCCCAAATGGCGGCGGAGGACTCTGCAGTTAAACCGGCAAGTCTTGCCATAGAGGCACTCAGTTCGGAGTTGTCCAAGCGTGTCCTTACGCAGCTGCCTAAACTTGCAATTAATAAGCTACCAGTATCGAGTGCATCTACCGGCACTTGTAGCAAGGCGGAGCCGCTTTGCCATTTGCAGGAAATCTTCGAGACTTACGGCGTCGCAAACGTGCAAGCCAATCGCACTCGCGCTGCTGATGCACGCTTCCTGATGAGAGCAGCTTGGCCATGCTTGGCCTCTCTGGTTTGTCATGGTTTCCTTGGGGGTTCAGCGTTTCCCGCATGCAGGTAAGAGCTGGGTCTTTGGTGATCGCGCAACCCTTCATCCGTCACTTGCTGAGGCGACTTTTGGCCCGACTCGTGAAACATTGACAGAACTCGGTGCCTCGGATGTGCAGCCATGCGGAGCCCAAACCAGCAGGGTTGAGATGTCGCTGATTGTGCCTGTCCAGGTCAGACGAGCCATGCAGATTGGGTCTTGGAGCAGATGAGCTTGCCAATGGAGTCCCTCCGGGAATACTATCGTGAGCGCGTGAATCCATTCTACAATGCCGCTGTAGACAGTGAACGCGACTTCAAGCCCTACACTCCCTGCACACCTGGCTCGCGCTGGAGGGCATATGTTTTCATGCTGAGTGACAACCGGAAGCAGGTCCAGGTGGCAGCCGGAAAAATCTTTGTGGATGGCAAGTTCCGGTCAGACATCCGCACTGGTCTCCTGGGCTCACGTTGGAGCGGCCACCTAGATGATCATATGTTTTTTTGGTCGGGGAGTTGCTGTGAGCTGAAAGAGTCAGAATGTCATTGCTGGCCGAGGTCTTGGCAACTACACAGGCTATCTCTGTTTCCTGTATGAGGGCGTCGGACAGGATGTCCACCTTTCGACTGACAAAGATTGCAGTTGGAGAATCCCGAAGACGAATATGCCAAATCCCGCGTTGTATTTGCGACTTCGTTTGCAGAGCAGCCTTGCTATTGTTTGACACATGCATTCTGTGGGTTCGTTGAAGAGCATATCGCTCATCGCGGTTGGGCATTTGCTTCGAAAAGGGTGTTGTATGACTGCTGCTGGCCACCCCAACTTCAGCGGTGCAGCTAACAAAGAGCCCAAAGCCAGCATGGCTGTGTAAAGCTCTGCATTCCAATGTATATACCGAGGTTGGACCGGACTATGTCCCTGCCTGTTTCCTTGCCCTTCAGGGACGGCTTGCCAGACACAGTGCTGTTGCAGACCTACGCCCCCAGTGAGTGCCCGATGGACGAGGTCAGAGTACAAGAAACAAGCGCAGCAAGTATAGTAGTCGGACTTCAACATGGGAAGGCCACCTTTTGGATACCAGACTTGTTTGATCTTGTTTGATTAATTCCTCGACCTCGAAAGCAAAGTGTGGAATCTGCTTGAATCCGCTTTTGAGATCCCAAACCCTACCAGGCGCTGCTTAGCAAAGTCGAGGGCGAGGAGCTCTTAATTGAGGCAAACGAAAGCTTTTGCTGTGAGTCGCTGTGAGTCGCCCACCATCGCTCACGTCTGAAGTCGTAAATCCATGAATGTTGCGAGGTCCATGGAAACACTTACGCTTATCATCCGCGGGTTCAGCTTCATGGCAACACTCCTGGAAGCCCCGCTCCTGGACTCTGCGTGCCGCCAAGCTTTCTCACAGAAGCATCGTGCAAAGCACCGGCGATCTCTCCAGCTCAGGCCGGCCTTGGCTTGTACTCAAAATGCACGGGCTGTGCTCGGAAAAACGCCCCAAGTGATGCTAGTGACGGCGCGTTTGCCACGTTTGCCACGTTTGCAGGCCGCGGTGCCAGGGCTTCATGCGGAAGTGCACGTCCTGAGCTCCAGCCCTTCGGGCTTCATCAGCGAGACCTCGAGCCAGCCGACCTTTGCCTTTCTTGACCCTCAGATCAACCATCCTTCTACGGGCAATGCTTGGATTGACCAACTGCCCAGGGACTACTTTGCCATCCGCTGGGCAGCCACGTTGACAATCCAGCAGGCAGGCGAGTATGAGTTCTTCCTGGAGTCCGACGACGGCTCTAGACTGGTGCTGGATGGTTCTGAGGTGGTGTTGAACGGTGGCTTTCACGGCATGGAGGAGAAGAGTGGCAAGGTGAACCTGACCGCCGGAGGCTGGGACTGGGACTGGGACTCCCGGAGGGCCCTCAAGAGGCTCGGCTTGTAGCTATTGCTGGCAAGAAAGATCAAGAAAGGGACGTTGGGTTTGGGGGGGCAGTGGTACACCGGCCGTAGCTGAAAGTGCGAAGCATGCCGCGCTCACACGCGCTCTCAGCATGCAGGCCATGCGCTTCTCGTCGAGTACTACGAAGGCAACGGCCATGCTGGAATTGTAGCTCGCTGGCAGGGCCCGGACAGCGGGAACACCAAGCAGATCATGCCTTCTGCAGCCTTCCAAACTCCTCCTCCGAGCACATCATCTTGCGTCTCCTGTGGCTCACCTGGAGAGGCGACTTCCTTGGGAGCTCTCAGCATGAGGGATTAACATGGGATTAACGGCTGCTTTGGAGTTGCCTCAGTGGTTTATGCAAGGGCGAACACCTTCAGGCTTCTTGCTTGGCTCATGAAAGAAAATACGGCTCCCCTGAAGAGGTTTCCAACGATCCCGCCCTGGGACACCAGCTCCGCTTCTACACCACAAGGCAGGGGCGTGACTTGAGCAGTGACTCTGCACAGTTTGGGATCTGTCATATCTGGGAGGTCCCATGCAGACCAAGACCTCGACAACCACTTCTTCGATAGATTTGCCGATGAGCTGTCCAAGTCGACCGTTTGGACAGCCAAAGCCCTGTGGGCCAAGGACTGTCGATGTGCAGGCTTGCTTTGATGTTGTGCCGCTGTGCATCCGGGGCCCAGCTTTTGCACCGGAGCACTGGCAGGACCAGTTACGCCAGCGCATGGCGTGGGCCTTATCACAGATCTTCGTGGTCAGCGCCAATGGTTTTGGCATGGATGACCGGACTGAGCTGTGGTTAAATTATTATGACGCTTGGAGTCCGATTACGCGCGCTCATGAGCAGTCCAGCGCAGTCAACTTTGATTAACTGCTGCTCCTTTGCCTGACGACTGCCGTGCTCAGCGCTTGTTCAGGACATCTTCGTGCGCAACGCGTTTGGCAATTTCCGGGATGTCCTCCGAGAGATCACTTTCAATCCTCTCATGGGTCGCTACCTCACCAACACTGGCAGTTCTTCCTTTGACTACAACGGCCGCTTTCCCAACGAGAACTTCGCCCGTGAGATCATGCAGCTCTTCTCTGCAACTGGGCTGCTTTTGTGTTTTGCAAGCTTCTCGGGGTCCCAGAAGAAAGACTCTTTTTTAACAAGACGCTTGAACGCGGTGCTTGATCCAATGTTTGTAGCGTGCAGGCCTGAACGGTTTCAGGCCTGGGCCGATGGTTAGTTCGTCTTCTCGTGACTATAAACTATGTGGCCCAAACACGTAACGCATGTGCACCGTGATCTCCTGCGGATCTCCCCCAGCCCACTCAACATGCTGCAAAAGCCAGACGCCAACACACTGGCCGCCGTTTCCCCCCATGCACTGGCTGCTTTCGCCTCCCCTTCCCATCCTGCCCTGCAGTCTCGGATTTGCGCTGCCGAATGTTGCAAAGGGTATCAAAGGGTTCAGCAGCACAGAGCCACAAGACAAGAAGATGTGCAGGTGGCCCTAACCTCAAAAAGTCTCAGGTCGGTCTGGACTTGCTCCACCGCAATGGTACTGTCATGAGGGATTCCAACGGAGACATTATGCCAACCTATGACATGGATCACATCGTAAATTTCGCGAAAGTCTTCACAGGCTTCCGGGAACGGCCCTTCCGACCCAACATCGAGAACGAAGATGATGACAACTTGATAGATCCAATGATCGTCGACGTTTCAAGACACGATGTTCATCCCAAGCCAGACTTGTATGGAGGCTTCTTGGGGGATGTCTTGCCCTCTTGCACGGAACCTGGGGTTCGCAAATTCCTGGCCAAAGGGGCTCGATACGAGTTCTATCCATATCAACCCATGGGTCAGGTTCTCGAGCTGTCCCCTGGGTCAGAATTCTACGATGTGCTGTGCTCCAGGGTCGACACTAGCTGTGTCTACCCAGCAGTGGTGGTGCTGAAGAAGACAGTTGCCTGCTCCGGTGCCGAGTGCTTGGCTGATGATGCCAGTATCGTGAAGATTGACGGGCGGTTTTACACTTACATACCGGCACCATGCGTGAACCCATATTTCGAGGCAGTCCCGCACAATGAAACAGTGAGCTTCTTTGCCCTCAAAAAAGGCGAATACTGCACTCCAGGTTCATTGATTGGGGACCAGGCTGCCTGCGAGCAAGCTATCATATCAGTGTATGGGTCGCACGATGGCAGGCCATACACGCAGGCAAAAACTTGGTATCCCAAAGGCTGCTCCTACAGGGGTGGGCGAATGTACTTCAATCCGGACCCTGTGGGCCGCACCAAAGGAGGAGACTATCTGCCCATTTGCTATGCCAGCATCATCGTCCACGAGAATGGAAAGGTCAGTGCAGACGGCCTCGAAGCAAACAGCTTCACTGTGCCATGGGTGGGGGGGTCGCCTCCCAACTCGCCTCCATTTGGAATCAACTTCTTGACCATTCAGTCGGGTGCTGTTTTCAGCGAAGTGCCTTGCAAGGAAGATGTCAAACAGCAGTTGTTCATGGGGGCCTTTGAGCCGAACGTGACTTGCAGCGTGTGTGGCGGTGATGTCGAGGTCTTCCATCATCCTGGTGAGGGGCCAGGGGTCACAGCCAAGACAATCTTCAAAGTGGATGGGAAGTTCTACAAGAATGTCATGAGCACGATTCACGTTGCCAACGGACCTACCTTCCGTAACCCACCAGTGTTTGTGAACGGCCACGAAGCAAAAACATCAGGGAATGCGAATCCCTTAAAGCACGCCGTCCTGGCTGAAGTCGAAAGCCTGCTGGATCAGCTCTTCATGCATGAGAACACCGCCATTTTCATCAGCAAGCGGCTGATCCAGAGGTTTGGCGTGTCAAATCCTTCGGCAGCTTATGTGGAAGCGGTGCAGCGTGCATTCCGCACTGGTGAGTACGGTGGCATGCTCTTCTCGGAGAAGTATGGAGATCTTGCTGCAACAGTGGCAGCCATTCTTCTTCACAAGGACGCCGACATGGATGGCCATCAGCATAAGCAGTTTCACGGCAGCTTGCGTGAACCAATGCTGAAGCTGATGCATTTCATGAGGTCCATGGAGTATCAGGATGTGACCCGCGAGAACGTCGTCCTCCGAGAGCTTCAAGATGTGTTGGGCCAGTTTCCCTTCCAGTCGCCTACGGTCTTCAACTTCTACTTGGCCGACTCTCAGCCGAAGTTTTTGTTCTGCTTCGAGTGTCCATCCGCTTGTAGTAGTTGATTCCGTTTACGCGTCGCGTCGGGCTTGCAACCAGAGTGCTCCAAGTCTGGATAAGCATGCAGAGAAACAGCACCTCCCGCACGTGTTCACAGACGTGTTTACAGGGGCCTTCCAGCAGCCTTGAATGGTCCGAGCACAGTGATTGGTGTTGTTCCGAAGGAGAGGGGAACGAAGGAGAAGGGATGGATTTTCCTTACAAGGATTGTATCGCCGTCCAAAGGCCTCGACGATTGGCTGAATTTCTGCCAAATTTCGCGAGCGTTTCGCAGTCGCAGAACTTCTGCATACTTAGACGCAGCATTTTGATGTTTAACCTTAGACTGAGATGGCAGCACATGGTTTGGCACATTTTGGAGACACGCTGTAAGCCTTTGCACAGCATCGCACAGCCTAGCTGCGGCGAGGACTTCAACTTGCCAATGCCCGAGCCTGAACCGGAGTCCACCACCGCAATGCCAGTCTCGATGCCCGAACCTGAGCCAGAGCCGGAGCAGCTTGTCGGCCCGGAGTTTCAGATCTTTACGCCGCCGCACTTCATTGGCTTCCTCAATGGCATGTCATCGCTGATCAAGCTGCGCAGCTGCAACCAGTCATTTTGCTAGGTGCGGACAAGCACCTGGCTTGAGAGCATATGTAGTGATTGGTGCGATACCGAAGCGCCTTACCCCGCACAGGAGTGGAATCAGCTCTGGATGTGACAGCGGCAGCGGTTTCGGCATCCGGCCCAACGCTTATGATGGCTTGTCGTGGGAAGAAATCTGTCCCATGGGTCACTTAGTGTCCGACCTTGGAGATGAGAACACCACCATTGAAGAGCTCAATGTATTGCTGACAGGCCATACTTACAGATACTCACACGCTTCCATGACAACCGGTTCTGTTGCATCTGTTGCTTGAACATCTTGCGAAGGTGGTCGCCTAACCGACACGGCCAAGGAAGTGGTTCGCAACTGGGCCAGACACTCCCTCCAAAAAACATCGCTAGAATCACCGTGTGCTTGGATCATCTTGTATCACACCTAGGCAATGCTTACCAGCGTGCCCCGCGAGCGCAACGCGTGAAACGCGCCCAGCAGGCATTGCGACAGCACTAGTGCAATGGTTTGCTTTCTCTCCAGCACAAATTCCAGTCCTGCCGCTATGTCATGCCTCAGCTGCTAGACACCTTGATGGTGTTTCCAACACCCGTTGCAGGCAGTGGTTATGACGCCCGAGTTCAACACCTTTGGAGCACCACTGCCGAAGGCTGCACAACGCCAAGAGTATCTCGATTCCTCAGCAGGCTCCACGAAGCCCTACAAGGCCTGATCTGGAATCTGGAGATGTGAGCCTTAATGCTTGCAACTAGTATGCTTAAGATGTACCGTACAACATGATGCCTCAGTTCACAAGGCAACCGCTTCTGGTTCAGGCGACGATTTTCCTCTTTCTTGCTGGGGGTGCTGACACCTGGAATATGCGTTTTGGCGTCGATAGCGGCTCTCGCATTGCTCAGATTTTGTTGTTGTTTCACGCTCCCTCTCTCTCCCTCTCTCTTTCTTTCTGTACCGTGTGGTCTGCACCAGTTTCCTGCTCTTCGACGGGTTGAAGCGGCCCATCATGCTCTAGCAGCGTCTAAACCAAGCGTTGTCTTGAGGCTGGTCCCACTCGGCTGTGATCTTTATCAGGCAGCTGGGTTATCGAAGTGAAGTGCGACGGTATAATTAGGACGCAGAGCCCCGCCATGCATCACCTCCCGACCTCTGGAGCAGGAGTATGTCGATGTTCGAACTGATCTGCACCTAGACCCCGAAGGCAGGGTTTGCGGGTGGCTTTGGGTGTCTTTCTGTTTTCGGTCTTGTTCCAGGTCATTCCCTGATGAGCAAATTGCAACCCCACCCGCACCCCCTCCCCCAAACTTCCGCCGCTCAGCAAATCAGGTGTCAACATTAGGAGTTACAAGCGCCACATAATTCACATTGTCTTGCCGCTGGAGACCTCATTGAGATCGACGTGGCCAATCAGTCGTGCCAGAAGTTTGGCATCCACGGCTCCTTCCCTTACTTGAAGCAGCTCTACGCCACGTCCTCGGATGTGTTGGCCATCAGCCGTTTTTGGCATGAAGGTTTGCGAGTCGATCCAAGGATGAGGGCGATCTGGCCTTCATGACAAACATCGGCTCTCTTGTGGAGCCTCTCAACAAGGAGCAGTACCGCAATAATCTCAAGGAGAGGTGCGTTGGCTTGTTCTCGCACTCAGACCAGCAGCTTGGCTTCGTGGAGAGGGAGTTCGAATGAAGTGTTTGAGTTCAGAATGATAATTGTTAACGCCTACGCGACCCGCCTCGGCAGCCGGGCCGGCCCACAGGAAAAAGAGGAAAGAGGGCCTCAAAAAAAGGGAGGGGGGGTCCCAAGAAAGGGCCCCAGGGGGGTAATAGGGGGGGTTCGGGGGGCAGAAGAAGTCCGCCAAATTCGTGCATTTTTCGCGATGGTGGGGGGGGGGGGGGGGCGTCGGGGGTGCGTCACAAAATTTGGCATGGGGGGAATCCGTGTCTGCTTGTTCCAAACACTTCTCGGCAGGAAGCCGATGCGAATTTTAACGCTCCGCGACCCACCTCGGCCTGGCCCAACGCTCCCGGAGGGGGGTCGCCTAGCCACAAAGGCACCCCGACGTTGAGGGGAGGCGGGGGCGGGAGGTGTGAGCTTCGACTTCAAGCTGTGGAGCATTCCAAACGCCATAAAGCATAAAAGTTCCCAGCTGTCCAGCTTAGGCGGTTGGTTGTTTCCAAACTGAAATTTGCAAAAGTTGGTCGGAGGCAATCTCTACATGTCGATACCCAACGTTTTAGTGAGTGAAGCCGCAGCATGCAGCCGAGGCAAACAGCCGCTCAAACATTGGCCTGCCAAGTCGTTGGCAACAGCCCGCGAGGCTGGGAAGCATGACAGTAATACTGTAATACTAATACAGACTAATGCTTCACATCCGCGAAAGCTGGCCGATGCAGGCGCCGGCGGCCGCATCACTGATGCCCTTGTGTCTGCCGCAAGCCCTTATGCGGCGACGTCGTTCTCATTGGCTGGCAGTGCCATTTTCGCACAAGGATTGGTGACCAACAGGCGTCGAAGACCCGGGTGTTGTTACTGCCATTTCACTTAAACGCAACAATGCTTGTGCCACTTAATGTGAGCTGGCAGGCAGATCGTCGATGAGCGAGGCAACGACCGCTTCCATGAGTTCGAGCTGTGGCGTGAGGCGAAGTCTCCAGCCGGGTGAAATTTGGTGACTGTGGGGGACATGCATCGGACAGGATGCATAGGCTACCAGTACCCTTGCTCCCCAATTCTCGACAAAACACAAAGAATATTCTCGGAAAGGACGTAGGGCATTCTAAACTCCAAAAACTAGTTAAACAAGGGGGGTGGGGGGGGGGGGGAGTTCGGCAAAACGGCAGCCGGAGGCAAAGGAACCATGGGATTCCGGGGATGCCTGAAGGAGGTATAAGGAGGTGGTTTGTTTTTGTTGCCCCAAACTCCTTAAGCCTTAAGCCAATTGCCTCGGCGAGTTATGAAATCTAGAGGAGTTACTTAGCAAACTGCGGTGGCGAGCTGGGGGGTGGGGTCCTGGGGTCGAGGCCGCTTCCGGGCTGGACACCTTCGACTACCTTTCGTTCCGCTTCCTCACCCCCAAGTGGGGGTTTACGAAAATAGGGGATCCCTAAAATAGACCCCGCCCCAAGAAGGTACCCTTATTTTCGGAAACCCACAAGTTAAAATTGAAAGGTATGCCCAAGCTTCCATTCTTAGTGTGGATTACTTTCGTTTCAGTTGACGTCGCTATCTTGTGGGCTTCGGGGTACATGAAGACTGTGTGCAGGGGGCCTTCATGTGCCATGTTGCTTTTGAGTCTTAAGAAGTCTAACCTTGACAAGTTTATGTGGCAGTTTCTGCACGACAATTACAGTGATTATAGGTTGTGACAGCCGCAGCTCGACAGGCCATCTCCAACCTCACCCGTCAGCAGCATGCCAACGTCTTCAGTGAGCAGTATGCACAAGTCTTCTTGGATTCCATCAAAACCACTGAAGAGCTCGGCCGCGCCATCGAGGACTGCGGCCTGCTGACCTTTTTATGCTCAGCCTAGTCTGCCCGCTTTTGAACAGGATGTAGAGCTGGCTACGGCCTACTCCACCTCTTCAAGCTTGGAGAAGCAACTCTCTCAGGCACGGTTCACATCTCCGTACCACCCAAGCATACAACCAACAGTTTCTGCTGGAAACCTTGAAACGCAGCGCATACATCTCCAGTTGGCGTTTGTGTATGCTAGCTCCGCATGGCAACCAACGGGTTGAGGTGGTCACACCGCAATCAGCTGCAGAGTCAGGTGGCAAAGCTCATTCGCGTACGCGAAGTGCGCAAGGCCGAGCGCGACTTCTTCTTTGTTCAGCCTCCTGGCTAGATCCGGCTAGATTTTGACTTGCCCCGCAGGCTTTTCAGCAAGCCTTAGAGCAGATGTGCGGTCTCCATGTTTCACATATTGGAAGCATTTGGACTTATTGGGCTAATCATTGGGTGGCATTCTGGGGATTCTGAGGCTTCAAAATCATCCCAATCCAGCTCGAAAACATGTCGTAGATTAACGGACAGTTAAACACCCTCGCAGTTAATCATGTTGAGAGTGCTTCAGGGTTGGTGGCTGGGACATGCACTCCAACCTGCTGAATGGGCTGAACTCGAGGCAGGGAGGATCTAGCCGGCCTGATCCAGCTGCGCCTTCGAACCCTGCAGGTTTGGCGAGATCAACCGAGCCTTGGAAGGCTTCGTGGCAGAGATGAAGGCGCAAAACGTGTGGGACAATGTCGTCCTGGCAGTGGGCTCAGTTTCCCGGGCGTGCAAGCTCTGTATTGTTGCAGGGGAGAAATGGCAGATAGTAGACTTGTAACATCCTGTAATGATCTGTGCAAAGCAGCTGTCCAGATTTTCAAAGGCAAGTTCCTCGGAGTTTGCGCGCACTCTGGACTCGAACGGAGGCGGCAGTGATCATGCTTGGGCGGGGCAACATTTCATCATTGGCGGCAAGGTCAAGGGTGGACAGATGCTCAACCAGTTTCCTTCCAGCCTCAAGGAAGGTGCTTACAATGATCTGGGTCGTGGCCGGCTGATCCCTGCATACCCTTGGGAGACAATGCTGAAGCCAATTGCGGAGTGGATGGGTTTGGAGACAAGCTCTCCAGAGGTCTTGAGCAAAGTGTTTCCGAACATCGGGCACTTCAACTCATCGATTGTTCAGGGTAAAGATTATCTTTTTCAGCCATGAGCTAGCGACAAGTGATACCTAGCCATGGCCATAGAGATTTTTGGTAATTCGCTTGTAGACGCTGTGGAGGCATGCACTCAAGGACCACAATGTGGCCGATCATTGCTTCCGCACCCCAGATTTACAGGCAACCTTATGGACCCGTCTTGGTTTCAAGTCAGGGTTTCAGGAAGAGACCATTGCTAGATTCTCAACTTGGCACAGTTCTGTCTCGAAATGTTTCAATCTTCAATATGTTTCATGGGCCCGTACGGCTGCACTTGCATAGGGTTGGCTGCAAGAAGCTCTCGCTTTGCAAAGAGCTGCACTTAGCTGCATTGCGGCCGGCAGAAGCTTGCTTCTGCATGAGGAATTTGGCATAGTGAACTGCTCAACTCGCTTCTTGGCGGCGAGCCTGCCATTGGGTCCACATCCGTGGCACGAGTTTCAGATGTCTTCGTAGTCTTCGGCAAGGCTGTCGAGCGGAACACAACGTCCCTCACAGCAGGCCGGTAGCGTGACTGAATGCAGTGCGGACAGCAGTGCCCCACTGAGCAGCAGTCAGCAGTCCTCCTGGATGCACAAAACCGAAGCCGGCGTTGCTTTCCTAACATCTATACGCGCTCAGCATACAGTAGCAGGCTGGAAATGGACATGTTTTTCTCTGAGGTGCTGCCATTGGGTGCTGATCTGGACGATGGGCCTCCCACAGAGGTGGCTTGAATGGCTTGAGCGTTCTGCTTTCGCAGGTAGATGCAGGTAGGACCGGACTGGAAAGCTGCGAGCTGCGAGCTATTGATTGTAGGGAGGCAACATTGATCCTTTTGCAGGAAGGTGTGAGCTTGTCTGCATCAGGGGGAGTTCTGTTTGTCATGCATGTTCGCTTGTGTCTGTCATCGAGTCGCATCATTGCCATCATCATTTGCATGTGTGGCGCCATTCGCATAAGCGGCGTCAGCAGATTTGTCAGTATCAGCAACGCCTGCATTGGCATGTGGAGTTAGATAGATCATCATCCCAATGGAAGCAAACGAGGCATCGAATGTAACGAAGTCTTGATTCTGGATGAAAAGGTTTTCGTGTTCCCATGGCCACAAGATGCCAGGGTGCCCACGCCCATCCGCGCCCCCTCCTCCACTCCCTCTTCTCGCGCTCTCGCTCCTCGCCCTGCTCCCACGTGCCTCCATCTGTGTCTCCGCTCTCTCTCAGTCTCTCTTCTCTTCTCTTCTCTTCTCTCTTCTCTTCTCTCTTCTCTTCTCTCTTCTCTTCTCTTCTTTTTCTTCTCGCGCCATCTCTCTCCATCTCTCTCCGCTTGCCCACGGCATGCCCTCGTGCTTCTAGCTTTCTTTGGCCTCGGCTTGTCCCCACGAGTTCAGTTCAGATCCACGATGTGAAGCTGGCAGGATCTAGTACCCTTCGCTCTCGAGGCGCGCGTGTCGGAGTGCTGTGTAGATGGCAGACTGTAGACGTCCTTGAACTCCGCGCTGCACTGCACAGGGTGCTGAAGTCCCTGGCAAGTTGAGATGGGTGAGCTCCAGCATTGCAAGCTGCAGGCTCAGCATTACAAGCACAGAGCTCAAGCAAACTGCGTGCCATGCATCAGACTTGCACGGATCGAGTCGCCACTCGGCAAGGGCTGAGCTACAGGGCCTACAGGGCTGCGGCAGCAACATCAAGGGTCTCCTCTCACTGCAGCCAAACATGGTCGAACATGGTCAGGGAGTAAGGTGCTCAAGGCGGATACTTTTCCAAATGTCGCTGTGTGTCCTTCCCAGGATTTGATCCGTCTGTGGATTGGCCGACTGATCTGGAGGCTGGATGCCTGAAAAACGGGAAAAAGCAGTATCAAAATCAATGTCAGCCCGATAGTTCTTTGGGGCCAGGATGGCTGCATAACAACACTACATCTGGAGACAGGGCTTGGGCTCAAACAGAGTTCTTTGGCCCTGCGTGCACATGGACTCCCGGCTTTCACAGTTCTCGGAGGATGGCCTCACAAGGTCTGTGTCCGCCCCATGTCTCAATGGGCTGAGCACGGCGACAGCGGGCTTGGGCCATTTCAAGCTGCCCTTCGCTCGCCTCCCTCGCGAAGGGCCACAGTCGGGTGGTGGCCACCTCCGGCGCCTCTCCTGGGATCCCGTGCTGGAGCAATTCCGCACTTGCTCAAGCCACTCGAATGAGATGGCTGACATGGCCCACCCCCAGCTGGTTCGCCCGCACACAGTGCCCAGCTGGCTTTCTTCGACATCAGAAAAACCAGAGGCAGATTCGCAGATGTGGGAGCCAAGGAACTGGGGTCCGAGTGAAAAGCAGCAGCAAGCGAAGCGAGGCTTACTGGCAAGGAGGAAGAAGACCCAGGCGCTGCGTGAACGTGATCATCGGCGCATCCAGGTCACAGTCGACCGGCGCAAAGACGAACGGGATGCACGCTTGAAGCGACTGGTGCAGGCCTGTCACTGCTGCGGGGACAAGCAGCAAGAAGTGTAAGATTGTGTTGAAGTGCTCTTGAGATCCATCCCTGCAGCTTAGAGGACCATGTGGGGGTGGATGCGGGAGGCTAGAGGGTTAATGCCGAGGCCGTTCAGCCCGCAGAAAAACAAGTCTAAGATTGTAGTCCCGTAAACAAACAGAAGCCGCGGGTGACCTCATGAAACTGGCGGCACTGAGTGAAGCCCGCAAGTCTTAACAGTAAAGCTGGGCGCAGCATCAGACTTCGTATTGTAAACTTCCACTGTGTTGAATTCCTGCACCGCCTGCCCGCTTGAAAGGCCATGACTACCAACGGCCCCGACTATGAGGCCGCAGCGCAGCTGCAGGCATTCCGAGACCAGAAGGAAACAAAAATCCGAGAACACTATCTGGACTGGGACCGTCACGTCTTCAATCCGATCGCGGCACAGGCTTTCCGGCATCTGAATCCACGGGTGGAAAAGCGCGTGTGCTTCAATCTGGACTCGCCATTCCAGCTTGTTGTGGACGCTTCCAAGGACCCTGCAAAGCGACAGCTTCTGCAGAACCATCGTGAACGGCACTTTCAGAAGCAATGCAACGAAGTGCTCAGTTCAGCACCCGCACTTCCGGACCCCTTGGAGGAGCGGAGAGCCTTGGGGGCTGAGTGTTTGCCTAAGTCAATCAGCCGTGCAATCTTGGAGCCCGATGTTTGGGGGCAGTACGCCACTTCGGTGTTCGGTCACTTCATCGAGGCCTGTGATCCTCGAGGAACCTGCAGGAGGATGAGAATTGGTGGCCCCAATGTTCACATCCCAGACGAGACGGATTTTCCTGCTGCTGGCACGCGCGTCAGTCGGACACGTGGATTCGGTGACAAGGGCGTGCTCCGCGATGAGGTTGCCATGGGTGAGACTCGGGAGTTCCGCGATGGCAGTGGCGCTGGCTGTGGCGCTCCAGCTCAGGACCACTTCGGCTTCAAGAGTGGCAAGGAGATTGTGGACTTAGACTTTCCGCCGAGCAAGCGCACATTCCCAGAGATGCAAAAGTACTGAGTGTTGCGATGCTGCAAAGCTCTTGCATTAGTTATCACGCCGACTGTAGCTAGGACATGAGGCTCATTGCAAAAATCGCAATGGGCTGGGACACTGGGCAACACGCTCACATCCCAGAAGTTGGTCGTGCATCTTCGCACCGCAACAGTGCGCCAAAATTGGTTTTGCAGCAATTTCTGATCGCAGTTTCCTGTTGTCGCAGTTCGGTTTCAATAGTCCCGGCACGCCATCCATCGTCGTCCCAACCCTGGACTTGTGTCTGATTCCGTCATATCGAAAAGGCTAAGTTACAGAAGGCTTTACATTCGCCAGACGTAGGCGTGGACGTTCCCCGGAGTCAGGCCCTTCGGGTCGTTTTCAACTTGCGGCTGCGGAGCCCCGCGCTCAACATGCACCGAGCCCGCAGCCTCCACAGGACACAATGCACTGATTGCATAATAAGAAGCGGAAAGTTAGTGATCAGAAGATCATAATCATCAGCATGCCTTACCCATGAATGTTCGGAGCTTCCTCTCAGGTGTGAGTGGCAAGAGCTTGCGAACAACTCCCAAAGCGTGGGGTGCCTAAATTGGGCAGTCTGCGCTTGTGTACGAGAAGTACCTCGCAATACCTTGCAACCGTTCGCTTTGCTGTTGCTCATAAGTGCTCATAGCACACTGTCCTGCAATTCGTGTACTCCTACAATGTTACAAAGTCCTACGCCAAGATCGATCAAGGCTGCATCTTTCGACAGCACCCCTCAAATATTGGGCCGGGGCCTTGGAACTTGTGGCAGATCTCCAGCCGCATGAAATCGGACAGTGTAAACACCGAGAGACCTGGCAATGGTCTTGATGAGTCTGGGCATATCTGGGCATGTCTGGGCCGATTGGGCCCTTGTCGAGGTCCAGGAAGTCAGGTCAAAGCAGCTTGAGGAGCTCACGGACAACCGCTGGAACTCCGACTTGGAGGCGCTCGCTCAGCTAAGTGCGCCTTCCCTCGGCTTCTTTCTTCCGTTGTTTGGCGTCAAGAGGCAGATCTCTTTCAGCCCAAGGGCGCATCTGCAGCGAACCTGGTATACCACTACAGCTTGCATCAATGCAGGAGTGCTTGCCGGCGTTGTCACTTGTGTCCATATCTCTGACACCGTTCAAGGAGTGCCCCTCTGATTCGCGTGTCGAAGTGGGCTTCAGTGGTCCTGTGATCCTGGAAAGGCAGTGGTGCATTGGAAGCGCCTGCGCATTTTGTCTTTACAAGTATCGGCCATCTGACGGGCCTGGTTATGAGCAGGTTCCTGAACGATCCGGCCATGCTTCAGCTGCGGAATCGTCAACACCTCAGTACTGAACAGAACAGGCGCCTGAGCTTCCCAGTTCATCAGCTGAGTTTACCCACCGGTTGAGGCACGAACGGTGGAGCGGGCATTCCTGTGAAGGAGATTGCGCCCTGCGCCGGTGAGGTCTCCTCATTGCATTCGCAAGCGGCACTTCAACATGTGCTCCTTGTGTGAGGCACCAAAGCCGTTGTTCCTGGAGCTCGGCGAGCCACCTGTCACTTTCGAGTCTCGCTGCGTTGGCCTCTGCTTTCTGCACTAATTAGGCTTCGGCCCGTCTCTAAGACTGGAAGCCCCTAAGCATCTTCAACATGGGTCACGTAATATCATGCATGTGTTACAGTGTTGAGGTTTAGCGTTCAGCCTTCCAGAGACGCTGTCCACAGGCGGTGCCGGGAGCTTAAGAGTTGACAAAAAGAGCTTCAAAAGCTGCAGCAATCTGCAGGTATCTGCAAGCGATTTCCGTATGGCGCATAAATGGCAGGTGTTGCCAATATGTTGCCTAAGCCAGCCGAGGACTATGTGGTCAGCTTGAGACCAGAGAGCAGGCCCAACTCATCCCAACTCTTTTCCTTACAGTTTGCAGAAGGTTGCACAGGGGAACTCAGAGGGCACGGATTCGTAGGCACCTGCATCTCCCTAACCATAGCACCCATGACAGAAATCACTTAGCGGACTTAGCATGTCAGATGTGTCAGCGGGAATCAAAAGAAGTTTCTCCCACGAGAGGTACCACCTCTTCAGTGGGCCAGTCCGCGCAGGTCGGGTTGGGAAGCTCGGGTAAATACCAGGACGGTGGTGCTTACGACTGAACGACTGTCTGCCGCTCTTGTGCTCTTCTTCCCGAACGCCTAACTTTTAAACCGTCCCGGAGAGGCGACCATGGGTTGAGCCTGACCGGCCTGCGACCCTTTCGCTTCAATTTCCTTCCGTCTGCGGCTTTGGACAGCAAGAGCCAGTTGTTACATGTGACATGTTTCGAGGGCCAATGATGGCAAGACTTGCGTGCCTGGGATGGCTGGGGTGTGAAGGCTTTTTGTTAATGCTTTCTCTTTGGCTTGGTCAGCTTGAATCCCGTGGGGCAGCCTGCGATTCAACTTCGAATGTCTTGTCGTGCGCATCTGTGTGCGTTCCCCTTCTCCAAGGCAGCTCGCATTTAAACGAGCGCAGGTGTGATGACGCTGAATTCAGAGTCCGATGCTTGTTCCTCCTTCCTCCGTTCCAAGGCCCACACTAGCTGCATGTCACAATGTTCCTCCAGAAGCCCAGGCAGAACTGTCGAGATGTCGGGAGCTTGAGCATCTTGAACCGTTCGAGTCGCTGAGAACTTGCTTTTACCAATTGGTGATGCAAGCCCAACTGTCGGCTCCCAGGATTTCTTCCGTCTGTATTTGCGACATGGGTTGAAGGCCAGTGCACGGGTCGAAGAGTGGAAGCAGAAAGCAGACAATGCATGACAATGTATGACAATGCTTGAGAGTGTGCCTTCATTCGATTGAAGTGCGAAGGCCAATGCTCTTCATGGACTTCAGTCTGCGATCTCTGTAGTTGCTGCAGACGGCGAGGCGTGCTCTCTTTGGGATTTGCGTTATGTGCCTCTGCTCCTGTGTCAGCAGCGCAGGTCATGCAGCATCAGCTTGAGGTGATAAAGAAGTCCACACTTGAGATGAAGGCAAGAAGGGGTGCATGGCACGTGGTTTACGACATGTGAACTGCTGCAAACGACCGTTGATGGTTGTATGATGCTGTGGGACATCGATACCACGTTTTATGCGGTGCACTTGGGCATTCAGCCTGACTGGGTGCACAGGTCTTTGGATTGAAGCCTGACCGTGAGTGTCCTGGCAAACTTTATTCCACTCCAGTAGCGGCGACGCTGCACTTACAAGTGCCGGAAATGCAGATAACGCCTGCGTATGTCTTCTTGGAATCCAGAGCTTCGACTTAGGTACACAGTTCAGGTTCGATCTTCTCTCGGGCACGAGGCTGGGCCTAAGCAGAGACTTCACCTGTCGAGTTTTGTACGTGATGCCCTGAGCAGGGGGCAACACAGCGCTGCAGTTACAACTTCCCTACATCACTAGAATCACCCCATACAGTAAAGCCTGCAGCCTGCCCTTCCTTGAATCGGCCGAAGTCCTCACGCAGCCTGCGGATCTCCTGTCTTTTCTTGAGGTCTCCGACGGCCTCGGGCAGCCGCTACAGGCTCTGAACATTCCTGGCTGAAGAAGAGAAGCCAAAGAAACCCATGAGCCCCAAAACTTTAGCAGTGGTTAATTATGGCATGCTCTTCCAGCCGCTTGTGTTCGCATGTTTGATTGCAGCTAGACATAGCACGCAGCTGACACAGTAAGGATCAGTAAGGCATGTCCACACGTGAGTCAATGTCTGTATCTGCATGGTAGCTATGTCCACTTTCACGTTGTGTTCCTGCCTTCCTGTCCATATTGTTGTAAAAGTATAGGGTCCCAGTGCGTGAAACCAATCCAGTGTGCGCGAATCCGCGGTGTGTGAATCCCTTTTCAGTTCGCGATTCTGGCCCGTCCAGTGCGCGAATCGTTCTCCTACCCTTATCCGATGTATACTGGAATGCTGCAAGCTGTCATGCAGCGTTCCTGTGCATTCCGCGAAGCTGAAACAAACACCTCAGAGCGGCCGGTACTACGTGTGAACCAAACTACCAGAAACCTGTACACCGTGCCTTTTAGGGACCAGGCTCGAGGGCTTATCAAAGGGCACGGAGGGACCCTATGCAGGGTTTGTCCTCGCGGCCGGAAGCGCGTCGGAATGAGGCCTTTGAAAGAGAAGGGATGAACGCAAACTGGAATTGTAGCTATCGTGCGAATTTGAGCGCGCCCGGCCACAATTCAAGAGGAGAGGAGAGGTGAGAGTGGGGGCAAGACATGTCAAATACTTGCGCAGGCATCCCGGCATCATGTCCACGACTCGACGCTAGACACCAAAATTGCCCTAGCGAAAGAAAGAAACAAAGCCTTTTGGCCAATTGATGGTGGGGCCAGATCAACATGTGAGGAGGGTGTTTTTCGACCGCATGCGGACTGGACGTTTCCACTTGGCCAACGCGGACGGCAAAAGAAGAAGAATGCCTTTCAGGGTCCTTTGTGTTTATGTGATTTTCTGTGTCTTGACTTGCCTTGGTCTTTATTCATCTTTCTTTTTGGCGTTGTTTGTCTGACAAGCCCCAAAGCATCCTCTAGAAACAAGCAGCTACTCCAGCACGTTCATCACATAAAAAAAGTCAGCCTTCCCCCCTTGCGACAAAAGGACAAGGCCCGTCCACACTAAGGCCTCGGGTGAAGTCTCCGTGGTTCGGGGTCATCGTGGGGAACGCTGGCCCTGGCTTCGGCCAGCAGCAAACGCTGCCGTGTTTCACAAGAAGGAACAGGACTTCGGGCGCGCTCCTGCGCCAGGGGTCGCTGTGGTCCCCCAAGCCCAGCAGAAGAATAAGAAAAAGATCAACAAAAGAAATGAATGCATAGAAAGAAGAAGAGGAATGTCCAGCTCCATGCCGTGAATGGGCTCATATGTTTCACATCAGACTCGCTGGAACACGCCTTGCTTAGCGGCCCGCCTCGGCGGCAGGAACGAAATGCCCAGAAAAAGAAGAAGAAGTAGAGAAGAAGATGAGGAAGAAACAAACAAACAGAAAGCAGTGGCACTTTGCTGGGCTCGAAAAGGGGGTGGCCGGAACCAACAGCGAGCGAGGGCACACATTGCTAGGTGGTAGTCATACTACCAGGCGGATTGCAATGGGGAGGCTCTTTGTGTGTTGATCCTTGCTTTGCAGTATCCCAAGCTAAGCCCGGAAACTGGGGCGGGGCAAAACTGCCCAAGGGCCCAAAAAGAGAGGGAAAGAGAGAGAAGAAGGAGATAGGGGGCAGGAGAGAAAGCAGAAGAAGAAGAAGAAGAAGAAGAAGAAGAAGAAGAAGAAGAAGAAGAAGAATAAGAAGTGAGAGGGGGATGAGGGTGTGGTGTCAGGAATCCCCCGACAGCGATTCCTGCCTGGGGGCGCGCGTACCGCACGCGGGAGGGGGGAACCTCCGAGGCGAGGCGAGGCGAGGAGAGGAGAGGAAGAATGACAGTTTATTTATATAGCCACTTTTTCAAACACCCCTTAAACCCTGAAAATCCATGCTAGGCGAAACAGAGACTGACAAACAGAGAGAGAAAGAGAGATTGCCGATCGGTGGTTGTATGTGACATTCGGCCAGTGAGTGTCTTTGCTTGCCTTGGTTTGCAAACTGTAGAAACCAGCCCGAGCTTTGCGTTTTAAATTCGCACTTTTTAACATAGAGTTATGAACTCAAAAACAGCTGAATTTTTACACATTAAACAAAATGCCTCGTTCTCTGGGCTCTGGGTCTCCAAGGTTCAAAACATCTGCTTAAAAACCAACGTTCAACGGATTTAAGTGTTCTCGGATACCCAAGCTTAAAACTTTGACACGCAAGCCGAGATGCGACAAACCGTTAATAACAAATTTGTTGTCGAAGCTTTGAGCTTCAATTATCAACCTTTTCAAAAGCCCTCTACCGGGGATGCCTTCTTCGCAAGTACTTGATATTCCTGACCCCCCTCACCCTTTCGCCCAGGGGCCTCTCTCGGGACTGAGCTGTAGGTTTGTGGCTGAAGGCACCCAAAATCGCATGATGGCTGCACCTACATTTAGAATTACAGCGTAGGGAGGGGGACGTCGTTTGGGTGTGGGAGGGGGTAAGTAAGGGCAAACTATCCCCACAATGCCAGAGGCCTGGGGCCTGGGTGGATGTCTCGGTTTCATGCTGAGGTGGTTTCAAGTGGCAAGCAACTGTCCGCCTGTGTGCGCAGGGTTCGAATGTGACGCTGAAGATGGGCCACCTCCCAGGTGCAGAAGATGCGCCTAGAGATGCCTAGAAGATGCTATATGATGTCGTGATCCCAGAGGACACAAAATGACACAGGCTCTGGCATGCCAGGCCTCTTCCTGACCCCAGAGCCACGGAATCCGAGCATGTGGTCTTCGAGTGTTTCAGACCGATTCCTTCCCGTGGATCAGCCGGTGACAGGCTTACTTCATAGCATGTGTGACTACGTGACTATGTGTGACTGGTCTCAGTGTGCCCCGGGCCACTCTCGTGCCGCATCTTTTGCCCAGTGATTGGCTCAGTCTTTGAGGAGTTCTTCCCACTCCTGGCCCGGCGGCAGCCACGAAATCAGCTGGGTTACTTGGCTGGCCAGCGAAACACAGTCTTGCCACAAAGC